GTTATAACCCTTTTAGTATAATCCGGTACAGTATAGTATAGTATAGAATAGTTTAGCAGGCAAAATACTGTAGTTCTTTGTTACTACAAGAGAAAGGTACATTTGCTTGCTTGTTTGGTTCTATTATACTGTCTTCTTACAAACACTGGTATGATTCCATTTAAATTTTCTTGACTCTAAAATAAGTTGTTGAGACGTTTAGTTATAGTAGAGACATTAAAGAGAGTTCTAGAGGCATTTTATGTTTTTTAAACTGGCATAAACCTTCAAGATATAAATTCTTAAATTTTAAATTACACCAAGTAGAGTTTTTTTTTAAACGTTGGTCTCTTCTACCTTGACAATAAGTTTCATTAAGACCGGTTAGAACAGTACAAAGATAATGAACGTTACCATGTAAAACACAAAATAATGGCGGATACCTGATTAACAAAGTTATTTTGGAAAAAATTCATTATTGATTTTCTCTAGATTTTTACCCATAGAACCATTTCCTCGGAGTTTAGTTGTTTCCTTAAGGGACTCCCTGTATTACTCAGTTTTTTATCTATTAAACAAATGGGCTATTTTTTCCAAATATGTTTTTATACGGAATAAATATTATGCCAAAAAGTATACCATGTTAATAATCCCTGATAAAGGGTGTCAAAGCCATAGTAACGCTATAAAGGGGTGGGATAGGTAATTAAATCACTAGATCCACTCAAGTGCTCTCTTATCCCATGAGGACTAGTGGCTACAAAAGCAATCATTATAAAATTTTCCTCCCACTGGGAATTTAAATTGCATTTGTGGTGTTCTTTGTCTGTATCTAGTTGAAGTAAAGGTATCCCTGATGTCAATTTATTTTACTGGTGAGTTGAGTGTTCTTTTAGCTAATTTGTAGCAATTACCGTAGATGGCACGGTAAGACCTAGGCGCGGGACCGATGGTCTTCTTTTTGTGAAAAGTGTAAAATACAATGCTACTATAAACTAAACCTATCTAATTGATAAAAAATTATAATAAGATATTTTTAATTTTAAGGCTCATAAACTTTCAACGCCCATTTTTTGAGGTTTTTTATAAGAATTAACAAAAAATGACAAGGTTTTGTATTGATACATCTTAAAACTGTACATATATCATTTTCATAAAGGTGTATGTTGACGACGAGGTAGTGAAGTATCGAGCCAAGGGGAACATGTTTATATAAACCAGGAATGAGCAAAGACAAGTAAAAGAATGAAAACACGAACAATTTACATTCAATTTGCAAGGGTCTCTCATCCCCGAGCTATTCATGTGTTAACAACCCTCAGCTGGGCAACTCTTCTTACCTTTATACGTGGAGGAGAGTTCAGTTATCATCTTTAATCTTGTTGAAAAAATTACTTTTTACCATCCCTATATTATCTAGATGGTCTACCGGACACAATAATATGATAAGACACAAGTCATTCAGATATAAAATAAGTGTTAGAAGTTTCATGTATGCTCTCTACTGCCTGCCATTTGATGATAAATCCATATGTTTTATTAATTGTTTTTTATGATCTATTTATATTACTTGTTTACATTTAATCTTAGTCCCTAGGGAGAAAAATGCTACTTTAGACCGGCAACGCATGCATTAAAAACGGTTGTTTGGTGCAGTGTATAGCAAAAAAAGTGTTCTTTAAATTTTTTCATAAAATTGACCATTTTTTGTAATTTAAATTGTTTCATAAAATGGCCGCAATTTAAAACTTTATATTAGACCAAGGTAATTTTTGTTTATAACATAGGTCTCTTCTACCTTAAAATACTTACCAATTTCCAGAAAGAACAGTCTAAACAATCCAATGATAAAAATATCTACGTAAAAAATACAAAATGGTGAATATCTGGTTGAGAAAAAGATTTTGAAAAAGTTTTATTCTTGATTTTCTGCTTATTTTGCCCCAAGGAATCAATACGTAAATTATGTCCCCACCTTTATTAAACACCCTGTATCTAGATGATAATTCAATGTAATGCTTTTATTATCTTGAGCTAGTGAAAAACACTGAAACTTTTGAGAGAATCCTTTAAACTACCGGTACTTCACTCCAAAGTAAACTACTTTACACTAGAAGGTGTTGAGAAGCTATGAATAGTCAACCTTCATGTAGTAGCGCCATCTAGCTATGTTTATGGCGATTGTTTTACATCCAAATGACATCACAGTACCTTGCATGCTTCTTTTATAGAAGTGTGTCTTATGCTATTCTCAGGTGATTATACCATCTGGTTAAAACTGTGCTGTACTTTTTTGTCTATTTAAATAAAAAGATATTATATGATGGGACCCATGCCCAAATTGTGCATTTCAATGGAGTTCAATTCTGAGGCCAAACAAATTGTGGTAATATTTGTCAGTTAGTTGTTGTATGGCAACCTCGGTTAAAGTAATTCCATTATGTGGAGCGATGAGATGAGGAGGAGGATAATAATAACATGGAAGATTTACATTTCATTACTGTGGTTTGCCTGATATTAATTACAATATTCTTACACATGCTCACTCTGTTCAAGTCATGATTCAATTTAGCAAAATCTTTTGTATGTCATATTTTCAAATTCACAATATGCTTCAATTTCTTTTACACCACACTGAAAAGGTTTCATGTGTTTAGTAGTCTGAACATTTCTGCTACCAATACCAAATGCTACAGAGATTTTTAAAAACATTGCATTTAATTTATGTAACATATTGTGCAGACACAATCACTGTACATTTTAGTGAATTACATAATAATAAATTAGCTTAATATCTTCCCTGGAGTAGCAAACCTAAGTACTCATTAAACCAATTTTTATTTAAGAAAATATCAGCCAGTGTCACTTTGTGACTTCAAAATCAGTGATATATTTGAATAAATTAACAATTTTATATTGCTCTGAGTTAAGTTTAAAATTATCAATATTTACGTGATAATCATTAGGTAACTTATCACTGACTTGTAATTTGTTTAAGCAAACCCTAACTTAACAAGTCCTTGATTTTCACAAAGTCATTTTCTTTTTTACATTTTAAACATATAAATTTCATAATTTGATTTGAATTCACTAAAACATCAATAAAATATTACCATGAAAACACAAAATCCTTACTTATACCTTTAGCAGGGATAATAATTCGGCGAAAAAATAACTTATCTTTTGAAAATAACAACAATCAAAGCAAAGGGACAGTTTTTTTACAAAATATATGGTGTACAGAGATATCTAGTGACCCTAAGATTTATTATTCTTATAGTTTGTTTAAATATTACATTAATTTGTTTACATTTGAGCTTTTCAGGGACTTCTGTCCTTGCAAGCAACTAATTTTACTTGAATTCACTAAAAGATTACAAACTGCAACGATAACCCCATTTTCATATGGATGTAAACAAAATTGTATCATTGCCATCTGTTTTAATGTAAAAAAATTAAACTTCAGTTGATTGACAACAGAATTTAGCACTAACTTATAGGAGGAAGGGCTTTCACGGGATATCATCCAAACCATAGACAAAAAGAATTAAATATAGACTGTCAGCCATACTGTGGTTACCACCAAAAAGGCACATTTTTCTAGAGCATAAGAGCTCTAAATTGATACCCAATATGCCTATAAGAATAAATATTTTGGGATTGATTTGCTAAATACAAAATCCAACAAATTCTTTGAATATTCCTTGATTCCTTAAATTCTTTTTAATCCTTAGGGAATAAATCTTACGTTTAAGGAAATATTTTAGTGAAAATTTAATCAGGCAAATGTAAATTCGCTTAATTAGTCTTCAGGTTTGCTGCGGTGTAGGTATTTTTATTTGTTTTTACAATTCTCTAACAGTTTATTCTCTTTAGATAAATTAGAAAATGTATTTAAGCATTTCATGCTAATGAGTTAGAAACCCATTTAAAGTGTATAGAATACCTCTCTCTCAACTCTCAACCATTTCAATGTTTGAATCAGTATAGTTTTATTAAGTTGATAATAATTATATATGGATTATTAAAATGGTATGACCTATTTTATCACTAAGTATTAAATGGTGAACGTGGGGGTTAATGAGGGTCTTAACTAATTAATATAAAACCATATTTCTCCAATTTGTTAAAAAATCCAACTGTATTAGTTGTGATATTTCATTCATTTGTCACAATGTACAACCTCTCTGATTTTGGAAAACTATTTGTTGAATTGTTCAAATTGTTGAAAATTACTAACAATCAGAACTACACTAAATTACTCAAGTCGCTGAGTTAAAACAGTTTTTAGTTTAAGGCATTGTGTTAATAACACAAACAGATAAATTTTAGAAAGTTTATTCAGAGCATTTTGTTTTATTCAATCCCCTACACAATCTACGTTTCACAATAACAGTTTGCATGCTCTACCAGAAAGAAATCAGCGTTTATTTAATTGCTCACTTTGCATGTGTAACTTATGGACTTAACCACCCGTTGCTGTGCTGATTACCATGATAAGTAGCGATCATTGATTTCTTTTTCTTGGCTACAAGCTGTTTTTGTTTTCCTTTGTAAATTACTCCACTATGTCAACACCTCTTGTACTTATATCATCTTAAAACAGTTTGCAACTTTTAAATGTGATTGTCGACATTTTGCTTGATTCAGAATAAAACCATAAATACTTATGTGCAAACACTTGTGATACTATAAATATACAACCAGCTATTCCACACAAAGATGTAAAACAAAAAGCATTTGGTGGTTATTGGAACGTTTAGGTCTTTTACAAAGCCTATTTTCACACCAATAGCTATTTAAATACGTCCAGCGCTTGTCATAAAAGGTTCCATTCAAAACAATGGTTTCACACTGATGCAAGATACACTGTTCATCCACATTTATTTCAGAGGTTTCAAATATTCTTTTTTATTGGTTAGCGTGTATATATTCATACAGCAAAAGGAATGATAATTATTAAGCTCTGAAGATACGAGTTGATAGAACTGATTTCCGTAAAAAGGTTAACTAGCCTAATTAAGGCTGGTTTATAATATATTGTCAATACAATAACTAATCTATTTAAGGTAGATAGCTAAATTTTATGTTGTGGTTGAAAAGAAGTCTTTTGTAGCACAAACCAGTTAAAACTCTTTCCAAAATAATCCCTTCAAGCAACTTAACTAATTAATTGCATAAAAAATTCAGTATTTTCTATTGTTTAAATGTAATTTTCAGATTTTTATGCTAATATTATGTTCTACACGCTCTCAGGGATAGTCTATAAAGCACCTTTTACCTTATGAGTATCAAATGAGTCAATCACAGCACTTATGCTGTCAATAGTCACAGACAAATGGTGATATGTCTTCATGTACAAAGCGTCCAGATATTCTTGCTTTTTTATTTTCTCTTCAAGTTTTTCTTCTGGCACTCCCGATGCTCTGATATCAAATGTTTCCCTGAACTGAGATTCTCCTTGTAAAGTTTTCTCATCTGTAAAACTTGAAGATGTGTGAGATTTCCTTTTGGTCTTCCTGCCACTTTTGGATTTTAATTTTGAGGAGCGAGGAGTTCTCACTGAAATTTTACTTTCATCTCTTAGACTGAGAGAGCTTGATAGTCTAAGAGGAATTTTCAAAATACACTTAAGACTATCACTTTCTTTTTCCAAAATGTTTATAAAACAGCTTAATAATTCACATACTGATTTGCGTTTTTCATTTGTCAGTGAGAACTTTAATTTAGGTTTCACCAGATTACAAATAGTCGCAGTAAACTCACTGATTGTTTCAGATACATCTTCTTGCAAGGCTTTTTCTGAAAGTCTTTTCCTAAGCGTTTGAACAGAAAAGTCCCAAGGTCCCTCGCTTACTCTTTTGTACAGCTCTCTAAGAGAATATACACTCTTGCTGTCATAATATAAATCAGGATTATTGAATATAAAAATTTGTTCCTCAAAGAACATCCAATCGTAAGGCAACTGTAGAGGCCTCTCGGGACGTGTTCTTTCCAAGATTTCCTTCACAGTTTTGGATACTATGTTATGTCTTGTACAAGATTCTATGTAAGAGTCGATGCGTTTCAAGTTTCCTTCAATCTCAGGTTTTTCAATAGCAACAGCTTGAAGTTCTATTGTTATGCACTCCTCTTCATCAGGTGCTTTACTGAGATAAAGTTTCCACTGTTCACAAAATACCCCAACTCTCCTAGAGTCAAAATAAAAAGATAGTTTTTCGCTTGACTTTGGTAAAATAACTCCATCGTTCTTATCAAAGAAAAATGTTTCTATATTCCTAGCAACTTTTAACGGAAGGGAGCTGTTGATAAAAGATGGCAACACTAGTTCCCAGTAATATCTCACACAGCAATCACTTGAGTTTTCAATGTTCAAAACTTTTTCATACAATTCATTGGTAAGTGAATCTCCAAAATATATGGTCCAGAAGTTTGACCATTTATCCACAATATCATCTCCAATTGAAACAGTAATAATATCTCTTACAGACTCCAAATACTCCATAGAGATATGACTTTCATTGCTACTTGCATCGCTAATCTCCAGTACATTTCCAAGGTCAAAGTTAACTGTGCGAGATTCATTAGGTATCATCTTGCAGCCTACAACCGCAAGTGTTTCTGATTGAGGCATGTGTTCTTGAAACAGATCAAGTTTGGTTCTTAAACTTTCCTTTTTCCTGTTGACATAATATGACGTGTCCCATTTTAGTTTTGGGTGTGGTAGACATTGCTCGCCCAAGAGACCTTTTTCTTTCATGATCACATCTGGAACTCCAACATATTCTACTTCTTTTGGTTGAGAACAACAATTAACTTCTGGCACCGGTCTAGATCGGTCGTATCTTTTCTGGATTGGTCGATAGATCTCCAGCTTCTCCCCATCCCCGTGAGCTCCTCCTTCCATTTCCCAGAAACAAGGATGACCTCTGTGCTTGTCAGAAAACTTAAATTCGGAAGCATCTGTGATCAGTTGTTTTTGCTGGTTAACATAGAGATTGTTCAAGTTCATGTTCATCAGTAAGCACTGCGGAGGCCTTTTCAACGTGTTGCTCAGTTTGTCTTGTTGTTCTTTGTGAATGTCGAGCCATCTCTTCCAATTTGCTAATCGTGAATAAGATTTTAGTTCTGGAGGAAAGTTCTTCTCTTGATTAAAGTTGTCTTCTTTAATTTCTCCTCTGTTTTGTTTAGTGCTGTTTTTAAAACTTATAGTTGAATCTCCTTGATTCCATAGTGATAACCATTCTGAGGGTCTTGCAGAGCTATCAGTTTCTGATATATTCATTTTATAGTCACCACAAGATTGAGCTACATCAGACTATAACGCCAGCTTAAATATTTACCCTAATGATTTGTTATGTTTCATGCTTATAGGTTATAGAGTTTGAATGGAATAACATATGATTGGAATTCAAAACAGAAAACAAAGGAATAAATAATATTTTACTAAAAAACACACTTTATTAGCCTCACTGTAGCAGCAAACTTAGGTACTCAATACACCTAATGTTACCATACTTAAATACTGTAGATTTAATTAAAAGTCAATTCAGGAAATGGAAATTCGCAGTGCAGACTAAGCGACCTGCAGGTTTGCTGCGGCAGTGTATGATTACTTAATGTGTATTATTATGTTGCAACTGACTGACGTTTTGACAAACATCAGCTGTTTAAAAGGTAGAATCTAGTGGAAGAGATTGATTTCTTCCCTTTCCACTGCCTCACTAACGGAGTATAATAACTTGAATAAAATTCAATAATGTAAACTGTACCTTGTGGAAGAACGTAGACCAGGAGCAGCTGAAGCCAGTGAATCATCCCTCACAGGATCATTTCTCCTGGAAAAAACAATTTCTTCATCACTCCATACAGAAGATCAGACAAAAAGGAGCTTGTCTCCATTACATGTGATGTCCAAGAAAACTATCTTTATCAAAACTCTAATTTAAAGAAAGGGAAAATGGATCAGTTATTTTTTTCCTTAGTATATTATCTCTTATCCCAATTTGTGTTTTTTTTTATCATTAACTCATAACGTTTAAAAACTTTAAAAATACACATTAAACATATCTTAGAAATTGACATGATGGCTTTTATATGTGTGAGCCCTTTTTATTAATTAATGAGTGAAAATTTAAAAACGTACGTTTTCATGTCCCTGGCCTTTTACTTCGTAGATACTGGATTTGTAGTTTATTATTATGTGTTTTAATATTTTTTGGGACGGGGGCAACATGTTACACACATTTATTTGGTTTTAAATAGGTTCTAGGTATTTTTTTCGTATTTTTAAAGTCTCGAAATTCACGACCAAGACGTGTCCCTAGGGTACATTTTCCAACTTTCACGCTGTTTTTATACTAATTATTCATGCCGAAATATATAAAGCCATATTTTTATGTCATCAATGGTTATTAAACTTACAAAAAAGGAGCATATTATAATTTTATTGTCATTGCAAACTGACTACCATGACAAAATAAGTCTGTCCCTTGATTTAACATCACGACCATTTGGGAAAAATTTTCAACTTTGGAGCACGACAGTGGCAAGCCTGGCGTCGATGGAGTCAGTTGGTTTTAGAGACTAGTTCGGGGTGTACGTCAGGATTGTAGTGCCGGTCGTTTCGAGTTGAAAGGAGGAATTACAAGATTAATAAAGGAAAGATTGTGTTTTTTGTAATTTTGGTGTGTCCATGACCGTACGTAGTCATTCAATGAAGTAGACATGGTGTTAATTTTTGTTAATAAGATATTTCAATTGCTAGATTAACCTAGAAGTTCACTTTGTATCCTCGAACATGAGGTGCAGGGCTACCGCCAGAACAGATCCAAATAACACGAAATTTCACGACCAAAGTTTCACGACCATCGCGGGTTTTTTCACGACCAATCCAGCCTTATGGATTTTAGTGTGTTTGGTCGTGACAATAACTTGAATATAATTGTAATTTGAACAGTTTAGTTAAATTGAAACACTTATTTTTATTATAACTAACAGTATAATTGAAGGATTGTTTAAAAAGATTTAGATTATTTCAGAAAATTCACGACCGTACCGCTTGTCCCTGACCATCACGTTTATGATTTCTATCATAAAAATTTCAAAAATTAAAATATCGTCATATTTCAATGTTTTATACACAAAAGAAGCACACCTCTATACAAACATAACGATTTTTCGGGTCTCAGGTAAGTTTTTTCGGAGTTATACAAACTTAAAGATTTTATTGGCTTTTTTTCAACTTTTTGAGTTTTTTAATTTTTTTCTAGAAAGACCAAATATACCAAAAGCTCAGTGACCTTTTTATTGTATAATGGTCATAAAAGTAAATTAGTTTATAGCAAAACATAGTTATAAAATAATATTAACTATTTTTAGTATTCATTTAAACGTCTGTTATGGTCGTGACAGGATTTTGTGTTTTTCCACTAAAGATGCTCTTTTAAAAAAAAAATACCAAAGATATTGCGTTACCATGGACATTTTATGAAACTTCAAATGTTAATGAAATAAAAATAATAATAAAAGTTTTGAAAAAAGGAGAAAAAAATGTGCAAAGTGCTTTTCCTGAAAACGTACGTTTTTAAATTTTCACTCTAATATACTTGATCGTAATCTAAAAGCTGTTACAGATTTAATGCAAAGAAAAACTATGTTTTACTCCTTAATATAGTATCATGAGTATTTTTCCTAGTAATGTATGTTGAAAGATCTAAGTATTGTAAGATAACATTTCTCATTGATCAGAAATCCTATATTTAAACAAATGTTTGCTAAAACTGTGTGAAGATTTGTTTGTGTTAAGAATTGTTTTTCAATGCTTATTTAAGAAATTTAATTCATTAACTGTCCTGATTATCGGTAACTTTAAAGAGTTTTAAGTTGACTCATAACAAGTTTATTCTTGAACCAGCATAAACCTTAATTTCATTAATTTAAAAATAGTCCAACAAGAGTTTTTTTCAGTTTTACTTCATTTACCAATCATTAAAAACTAACGAGTAATGTCCAGTGGTCGAAACTCGACCAAAAATATGTAATGTACTCACTTATCTATTTTCACCCCACACTGTAAATAAAACATGTGATTGGAGTTTCCTCCATTTGTTTTGATTTTCTGTTTATATTTCGTTGTTATTTCGTAACCAGCATAGCAACGCATAAGATCCATGTTAATTTTTTCAAATTTTTAAACTCATTTTTTGTGCTTATCTTTGAGCCTATTTAAATTTATAAAGGGATTCTGCACACCTACAGGAAAATAGCTTTCCAACGGTATGCGTAGATTTTCCCTACGATTCACACGAGCTGAGAAAAAAGGTTTTAAAGAAACATGCTTGCCTATTAATATATAGATAGATAGATAACTTTAGCTCTTCTTGCGCGTAATAACAATAATTTTATCAACTGGATAAACTTTGATAGCATTTGTGATATTTGACTGATATTAGAAAAGTAGGGCTTGTAATACAAATGTAGAAACTACAGTTATAAGCTTTGAAGTCATATAATTTGGTATTGACAAAGTAATTTGGAAAATATCAGGAGCCAATATTAAATTAATTTTAGATTAGAATCCTGTACATTAGGGTGGTGAGAAGGGGTGAAAAGCTGATGGGTAGAAAGAGAGGGGGGGTTTATAGAAGGCAACAATGCCACCCCCACCCCTGCAACCTACTGGTCCACTAGTAACATTAGACAATATGAAACCATTTTAACTGAGAACAAAATCCTGTATATTAATAAGCATATTGTTTTGGTAGAGGATCAAAGTGTATAATTTTTCTATACTTAGGTACTGTTAGTTATACTGAAATGGTAATTGATATAAATTTACCAAATTGTCAAAAAGTTAAAATGTGCTTCATACATAAAATCTTGGAAGTTTTAGCGTTAAGTGTAGTTTAGGAATACACAACAGTTTTTATTATTTTTTTCCAATGACGTAAATGAAAAATAGTTTATTTCATAATACAATCATCATTAAAACAGCTATTTTTTTAACTCTACCCAAGGTTTGCACCGAGAAAATTTTGGCAATTTGATTTTATAGCTTAAACTTACATTATGACAATTAAGATCTTTGCAAGTGCAAACTAAATAAGTACCTATCTATTAAGTGGAAGTGCTGCAACTATAAAATAGTTAGCCTAATTGATTGGTAAGTATTAGATTATCTCTTTTTGTTTGAACATTTTTTCTAGCAAAAAAAAACATTAGCCTATAACTTTATACCCAGTGCTCGATTTGCAGGGGAAATCGAGTTCTGATACCTCTCTTTTATAGGAAAGATATTGGCATAAATAGGTAATTATATTAAATGTTAATGTTCCGGCACCTCATCTCTTAAAAATCGAGCACTGTTTATATACCTATACATAAATAAATCTGTTAAATTGTATTATGGAAATTACTCTCGTAGGCCTAGCCCAATCTTCCATTAATATTTAATTATTCATTATCACAGTGACTAAACGGAGAGTTATGAAATAAACATTATTTAACACAAAATTACTGTTTTACAGATATCTTCACCAGTAATCCTCGTCTATATGTACAAATAGAAGCTCACTTGGAGGAAACTCCTTTACCAATTCATACCCGTGACGGGTCATGAAATTTGTAACACCTCTAGAACCCCCTCTAGAGTAAGAAACATTCACGGAAACGAACCCAATGTCAACCCTGTCAAAGGGAATGGTCTCTAAAATTTCCATCTCGTGGCCCGCAACACTCAGGCTGAAATAATCAATTTTCTTAATGTTCATTGCGAGTATGAAAGTGTAAAATGGATAACAAACAACCTGCACCATGTCATCTTTAGTTTCATTTGTAAGAATTTTTCCCTCAAAAGATAACGATGAATTAAAGTGAGCGACGTATGCTGAAGTGTTCAAACTCATACATACAGGAGCGATCCATGCTTTTCGATGAACTGAGATTATATTTTCAAAATGAGCAGGGTCAGCTTCTACCAGTAGACCTTTCCAGAAAAGATTTTTTTCCAGATACAGAGTGTTGGAGAGAGATACCCCATCTCTCGCGCCACACTCGAGGAAAAATCGTTCCGCTTTTGTGCTTGTCAGTTTTCTAATATGTTCGAATTTTCCAATCCCACCTCGCTCATTCTGGTATAGTTTGTATTCCTTAGAGCTTGAACATGGAGGAAGTATTTTAGAGTTCAGATCCTTCACTAATTCCGGGTCTTCTTGGTCATGGTTTGGAAGTTTCACACGGCTTATGACAGGAAAGCTTGATTTTGCTTGAGAAATTCGCTCTTTGATATTAGTGTTGTAATCATTATCTATTTCATACTCACGGAAAGTTTCTTCTAGTATTAGGCCAAAGAAAATAGTACTTGAAACTATAGATGAAATCACAAAAAATGTGCATTTAATAATTTCTAAGGATTTAGCCATTGCATTATATATCCCTTATCTTGACAAAAGTAACTTGATACGGTACAATGTCCTGTTATGTAGGCCAATGAATAACGTTTTCAATATTTTCATATTCTAAATGTGGTTTAGTGGAATGATTGATAAGTTTATTATTAGTATTTATAAATCATCAATATTAATAATTTCAATAAAAAGGTTAACTATTAGCATTTTTATAAACAAAAAATAACATATGAATGTTATAAGCCAGAACACATGTTACCAACTCCAAGTACCGGTACTCATCATACTGTTGTGTTATGCAAACAAGAAAGAAATGTTTTTAACTTGTTAGTGCAGTAGAAATAATCGAAAATATAGCTTAAGGTGGAACTAATTGCAACACAAATGATTCTTGCTGTGAATGGTAGGTAGTATGCTTCTAATCAACATACTAAAAATATACATCCGTACTGTGGCGCAAAACACGTTTTTTGGCCGCCATCTTGAAAAAAGTGTCAAAATTTTAATATTCGTAAAAATAACTTTTTGGGTATCAAATTATAGGAAATTTAATGCTGAAAATGTTATAATAGTGGTTATAAGCACCATTTAGAAATACGATCGTAGTACAAAACACCCCCGCCGCAGCAAACCTGCAGACTAAACGAATTTCCATTTGTCTTAATTGATTTTCAATTAAATCTAGTAATTCAGTTTTAAAAATCTTTGTACAACTAAATCTAGAGTTCTACTGGACCGATTTTATAACCTAATGGGTCATTGGAAAGGAATTCGTGTAGATTTTCAAATAATTATTAAAGTTTGATTTTTTAAGATTTGCTAGGTGAAACCCGTCAATGTCGACAATTAGCTTAGGTACTGTTGAGTTTGCAAGTAAGATCTTTTAACTATAAATCGATGATAGATAACTCCATTTTTAAACAATTTGGGTCGTTTATAATTTAGCAGTGTGCTTTAGGTACGTCCAATCTCAATAATCAATAATTCCAATGGAATCTGGTATTTCACTGAAGATTTTTAGATAAAAACATATAGGATAATGTAACTGCTGGAATACATTTTTAATTGAAGTAAAAATTGAAAAAAATCCAATTTAATTGTTTTCGTAGGGTTATACATTTTATAGATTAATTATGACAAATATGTGCTTGCAAAGCTTTGAGACCAAAATTATGAAAATCGGTCTGGTAGAAGAGCCAAACGAACTCGAAAAAAAAACAAATTTAACTCCCGTAAGTAATGTACAGGGAGGCAGTTTGTGCATAGCTAAAAATATACGTCAAAATGAGTGCTGATGCTTAATAGCAAATCTATGGTGCGTCCATAGCTTAAGTTTAAAGCTGGATTTACACTATGTAGCAAAACCTGCTATATAACTTTTGCTATATAACATTGCTTTATAACTTTTCTGTATGAAAAATTTACAAACAATTTTAGTGATTCTGGTGCTCGTGCTATATATGTTATATGTAGCACAACCTCATTCGCATTCCGTATCGAAATGTGCGCTGAAGAGACATTGTTCGTGGCAGCTATCGTGGTGATCTTGGAAGTCAGAGAGAGAGAGACAGACAGGAGCGAAGATTTTAGCAAGTTTTAGGTTTGACCGCTTCTTGCTTCGAGAAATAAGTACAGTGTAGCAGATTTATTACGGGACCTTAATGATTATGAATACCCTGACAATCCATAATTAAAACGCTAAATAAGGCGACGGTAACTTCAAAAACGTTTTACGTATGATCACAACGCCGGTTGTCCACGGAACAGTTCAATTAAGTTTATAATATCAATAGCCCCGATAATATCATCCCGATCTTAGGCACTGCCACTTTCCGTTTCCAGTCCATCCATTGTAAACAAAGCTCGCTGAGCAAAACCGTTCAGCGCTACATATAGCAGATGCTAGACGAAAAATATATGTATATCATTGCTACATATGGTAATGTTAGATGTAGCACGTATTTCTTTTGATATTTACCGACTCCCGATGGATAGCACAATTTTAGCTATATATAGCAGGATCTGCTACATATAGCAGTGTTATATAGCACTTTTGTAAAGTTACTTTTTCTACTTCTAGCAAATGTTATATAACATTGCTAGATGTTACACAAATCTGCAATGTAGCAGGTTTAGCTACATAGTGTAAACCCGGCTTAAGGCCAAAATTATGAAAATCGGTCTTGTAGAAGAGCTAACCCGACTCTGAAAAGAAAAACCAATCATTTTTATAGATGGCAATAATTGATTTACCAGTATGCATAATCTAACTATACGAAAAATGAGTTGATAATTTAACAGCTTATTGTTATATTGTTATTTAATTAAATTTTCTTTGATTAAATATTGTTGTTAACAATTTGCATTTGTGTTTAAAGTGGGTTTCTAATGTTAAGTGTGTGATTCTAATGTTATGAGCTTAATATGTACCAGATATTAGTGAGTAAAGTGGTGTATGGATTTCATAACCATTATTTTACTAGAGACCGTTGCATTAATTTAACCACAATGGGCTCTGTTGCTAGTCTATTAAATAAATATAACATTAGGTTTAACGAAACTAGTACCAAGGTTTGCTGCTACAAGGAAACCAATTAAGTGTGTTTTAAGTCAAATATTAATTGTTTAGTATAAAATAAATAAATCTTCAAAGTTTTATCAAAATATATCCATAAACAAGGAAACTACAACTTTTTACCATATTCTCCATAAGAATAACATGGGGATTTTAAATTTCCAATTTTTTGAATTTTCCCCGTTACCAATAATCGTACAAAACCCCTTTGATATACTTAACTATTTGTTTTATAAGCTCTTTAAAAAGGTCTAGAGATAAATTGGGAAATTTTACGTTTTAAGGGTCAAAAATGAAAAAAACTAATTTTAAAAGTATAAAATTACTTATAAATAAAAAAACTTTTCAAATGCCACATTTTTAAACGCACCTTTTTTCGCCCATAGTGCATCACCGTTAACAGTATATTTTAAATTCAACCATTATATTCTTTTCCAGCATGAAATGTTCTATAATTTGATACCAAACCAGATTTTTTAACAATAATTTAAAATTTTACACTTTTTTTTAAATGGCGACCAAAAAACCGTATTTTGCGTAACAGTACAAATGTATATTTTTAGTATGTTTTTTAAAAGAGTATTACCTACCATTTCTAACTGGAATAGTTTCTGTTGCAATTAGTTCCACCTCAAACCCTATTTCTACTGCACTATGTCCCACTAAAGTAAACATAGTATATAGACAAAGTGTTGTTTTTGTTTTAATAGTTTGAGTTTTAGGTCCCCTGAACCCAAATTTGTTTCTTGTGAGACAAGTGTGCCTGTGTGTGTGTGGATTGGTACCACAGAGCTAAAGTCCCCTGTGTAGTATGATTTTGATCAAACTTGGTACTGTGTATTATATCTCTAGGCATTTCAGTGAATTTTCCTATAGGGATTTGATTCCTACCAAAATAGTTAGAACGGTTTTGATAAATATTTAGTATGAGTATGTTATGGTACTTTAAATCCAAACAAAGAAGTACAAACCCTAATGCTGTAAAAATTACAGTAAACAAATTATTGAGTTTTTTGTGGTTATCCCTGTAACATACCATAATTACTTTCACTGTTTACCCATGATAAGGATCTGAGAAAATATTTTTCAGTTTGCTAACAACAATTATTATTTTATTTTTAGTTTTAAAATTTTTCATAGGACCTTTTCCTTGTGATCTGTGTTCAAACCTTAACAAAAAAAAAAACTATAAACCACATTCTTCAAGAAGAACTGGTATTGGAATGAATATAAATTTAAAATAAAAACTTTAACAATATTTTCAACATTTTTTATTTCACTATATTTTTAATAATAAAATTAAAAATTTTAAAAATATTGGTGAAGTTTTTTGTTACAAATTTATATAAAATAAATATTTTTGTCCATTCTTGATATTTTTGCCAGCTAAGTTACAAGTAGTAAAGGGTGAATGTTAGTAAAAGTAAAAGCTTGCCTACATAAAACCAGTTTACGATAATGACATTGGAAGTATGTTAAGGTGGAGAATGGATTATCTATTGTTTATGTAAGAGGTTTCATTTACTTGGTTGATTTGATTGAGTTTGACTTATTGTTGACTTAGCCAAGGCAAAGGCTTGTACTTTTCTTGATAAGTGCTAAATCAGCTATTAAAATAATCAAATAAAACAGATCAAGCTGAGCTATTAGTGAACAGTTATTCCATAAACAATTGGCAACTATTGGGGACATCAAAATGAAAAAGGAAAGCTGTCCCAGGTTTAGGATGGTTGTCTTACCATGCCATTTATGGTACATAGCATAGTTTATATGTTAGTCTATGGTAACAGCTACTTCCCTATGGGGAAATTGGCTAGATACATCCTAATCTTTTACAGGTTTATGTGTGTAAAGTAAAGTGAAGTACGGTAATTAAATAAAAGTGAAAAAACCTGTTCAAGGTATATTATATTACTAATCATTAATTTATCGTTCACTATCCAAAAAGTAACAAAACAATTGTTTGAACTAAAAAGTTCATAAAGAGATTTCTTAAAATCCTTTAATGACGCTCAAGTAATAACAAAAATATTTGTGGTGGTATAACACATTTTCACTACGTTCTATAATTCACTTTTTTTAAGGCTGTGTATTTTATTGGATAAGAAATGTTTATTTGTTTAATGATACCTTATGTATTTGTTTTGAAAACAATTTCTATGAAACTAATTTATGTAGCCTATATTATGGTGTAAAAGTTTATAGCCTACTATTTTAAGTAGGGGGTACTAATGAATGATTTTCATGTGCTAAAATCCTTGAAGAATGATAAAAAAATGTTGTTCTTGTTTTATGTTGTTATGTTATTTTCTTGTTTTTATTATTTTTTTATTGCATATAAAATTTTCAGACAACTAAATCTAGGTTTACTTTTACAGATTTAAAAAATGTTTGAATAAAAATTAATACGTACAAATTTATATAATTTAATTTAGAACTATTAATTGTCTTCTTTAAAAAAAAAAACCAATCTAACTTTAAAAATTCTTACAATATAAAAACTGTTTTTTACTTCCTTAAAAATTGTAAATAATATATTAAAGTAGTTATAATACCTAACTATATTAATAAATTAATAAAAATATAAAATGTACAAAATTTAAAATAACATTTTCTAGAGTGATTGTAAATTTGCTCACCATGTGGACTTAACAGACAAATTACATAGTTGTACACTAACACACAGACGGACAAATACTGCTGCAGAGCAATGAGTTGAGTTTACTTGTGTTGGGGTGATAGGGTGGGGGAGGGAGGGTAGTCAGTACCTTGATTTACCACCAGGGCAACACCAATACCCTTTGACAACATTGAACAAACTTCTTTAAAACTTCTTAAACCCTCTTGAGGATTAACTTATTTCACTTGACAGAAGGTAAGTTTAATGATTTAATTAATTTACAATATTTTTTCCAACCATGAATACCTTGTTAAAATCCAAATAGCCTATTATGAGTATACTTTATCTCTGCAGCTCTTTTAAAAATACTGCAGTGGATAAAATATTGGTTAGTATAATTTGTGTATTTTGGCTGTCTAACTTAACTGGGGTTTCTCAGGTGAGGCTTTTTAAGGTATTAAGTCAAATATGTATCGTCCGGGAAATTATTTGAAATGTTTTCAAATAATTAATTAGTATTCTTATCACTTTGTTTATCCTATAAGTGCAAACAGTATATTCAAATGTAAATCGACAGTCAAAAGAACAGGTTTTAAAATTTGTCAAAATACTACAAAATTATTAGTACAGTACATTAAAGTGCTAAGATTTGAGAAGTCGTGTAAAATATTTCCTTGCCCGTGGTCAAAAACTCGAGCAAAAGTATGTATTGTGCAAACTTCTCTATTTTCACCCTACGCTGTAAATAAAACATGTGATTGGAATTTCTTCCATTTGTTTTGATTTTCAGTTTATATTTTGTTGTTATTTCGTCACCAACATGGCAACCCATAAGGCCAATGTTAATTTTTTTTATTCATTTTTTGTGATTATTTTAATTTTAATCTGTTTTCTGTTTTAATTTATAAAGGGATTCTGAACATCTACAGGAAAATATCTTTCAAATTAAAATTGTTTATTCAGTCATTAATCATTACAGTGATAGGCTATGTCTAATACACATAATGTAGTTAAATTTAGATTAATTTTTGATATCTTATACATACAATATATATAAATCTTATATACATAAAATATCAAAAAATATTCTAAATCTATAAAAGAGGAAGTATGTATATATATGTACCCTATGGACTCTGAAATCACTCGATAGATTGCAATGAAACTTTCAGGCATTATTAAGAATTATTAAAGGATGGTTTGTGTGAAGTTTGGTGCAGGTCCGTGAAAAGAGCTCCGCCCCAGTGGCTCTGGAGTATCCCATGTTAGTGTTATGAGTACTCATATTTAAATGGAATTAAAGAATCTTAACAGCCGTTTCAACTAAACAGTTTGATTCATTGTGTTGATCAATAGCAGCTCTGCCTACAAGCTTTCAAAGTTTCCATACTTTTTTCTTGTTTCATTAAATTCTATAATCCACTAACAAGTTAACTACAGTAGGAAAAGAAGTAAATAAGTTAACTCAGAATTCAAAGCAAGTGTTTTTACCTAACCCGCCATGTTAAACCTCCCTATTCCAAGCGTGATGTATACAACTTCTTTACTTCTCAAGTGATGTAAAGTTGAAAAAAACTCACTCGGTGAGGTAATGAAACCCATAACATTGAGTGCTTAACTTAAAAAAATATACCTCTATGGAGCCAAGTTCAACGCTAGAAATCAGCTGTGCGCCTGAATTTTATTGTTATGTTTTGAAGAATTTTCCTAACCTAGCTTTTGTTTGTAAATGAACGTTACTGTTAGAAGATGAGTGAAATGGATAATGAAAAATATTGTTCGTAACCTCCTGTATATTGTCGGGTCAGGTAAAATCTTGTACGTTACACGTTACGCAAGAGCGTGTTTACATCACTTAGGTAAATTATGCAACTCGCTTCCGCTCGTTGCACAACATTCACCTGCGTGATGTAAAAACGCTCTTACTACACTTGTAAGGTAAATAGCTATTAAAATCACCAACAAACAAAACAATAATAAAAAATTTATTCCTGACTATGCGGAAACGGAGCAAAAACTTTCTATTGAATTGTATTTCCTTGCTTTTAACTCATAAACATCAGCTGTCAACTCTTTTAGATACTCATCTTTTATCTCCAGAAGGTTCTCTAGTCGGTGGATCTTTTCTAGCAGTACCGCAACAGTGTTGTTTAATAGGTGAATATCGCTTTTCAGTTGTTTGATCTCTTTCATTATCTCAGTATTTGCCGTTAGTTTTGGCGCTGGTTCACCACTGGCTGACTTTACCCAACGACCTGTGTTACCATTACTTTGGGTCTTGTTCTCTGCCTTCTGTTTGACGGCGAGCAGAACAGACTCCAGCGCCCCAGGTACCCCTGCTGCTATCTGGTGGATCAGGTCTGAAGTTACTTTCATCTGCAGTTTTTTAAACACCTTCATATTGAGTGTTTCCCAGTTTGCTACCTTCCCAGTGTGGCTATTGGCTACAGGGTAGTTGTGCAAATCCACAATTTTTGGAAAAAAGTGCTTACAGACTTCAGCCATCAAAACTCCATCTGCGAAATCCCTTGACAGATTCTTTTTTGGTTTTGAGAGAGGGATACCTTCTATCCACGAGTACAGCTTTTCTATTTCAACAAAAGTTTCCATTGCAGGATTATATTTTGATAAGCTAGTAAATACTTTAATTAATCAATTGGTTTTTATGTCAAAATATTTGACCAAACAGCAAAAAATATTTCGAGAGAAATTAACCAATTAATTTATTAATGAGTAAAATCTTACTCTACTGTAATTTAAGTTAGGCCTAACAGGATTGAGTTAATATGCAGGTAAGTTTCTAGGCAACCAAGATAAGTGGTGAAATACTATTGAAGTATGAAACACCATTATAAAATTGCACACCCAAACAAACAGGCTATATAAATAAATATTATTGAACACAAATAATTAAATAAGACGGTCCCCTTCCAAACTAAAGTATCTAAAATATTTTTCCATTTGAAGTTTTTTTACTATAAACCATACCAAAATCTGATTTCCTCATCAATTTAGATTCAAATATATTTTAAAATAAAATAAAATTTGCTTTATTTGCCATCCATATGTGTCATACGTTAACTGAGAACAGATTTGTCGGAAAGAAGACAAGTTGATTTTCATTTTATACAATTTTTTGTTGATTATTTGAGCAGGTTCCAGTGATGTCGCACGAGACTTACAACAAGTTATGGGCTCAGGCTCAGGAGATCCTAGAAGATGCAACCAGAATCGACGTGGACCAACAATCTGCTAAACCCCTCAAAGACAAGCGGCTTGCTCACAGGTTACTTAAATTACTTTGCAAACTATAATTTTGTACAATATGGTATCTCAAATATTTTAGATTGAACACATAGAAGTAAGAAACAGAGGATACACTTCATGGTACACTCGAGTGGTGTCTAGGGCAAATTCCAACACCGCCCGCGCCCCCCTCGCCCTCTTGTTCTACAGCGATAACGGAGGAAAACCTTGTACACCGTTTCGATAGGAATTTCTGAACATTACTCGCCATTTTGGCTCTTCCTTGCACGTCACAAGTATATTTCCGACACAACATACCAGAGCTGAAAGCTTACGGTTGTCCCATAAGCATGTTTCCTTCTGTACCTTACTTCTCTATAGATTGAGTTAATTATGTCTATTTTTTAATTTTCTTCGTCCGTGAGATTTAAAAGCAATTCAAGGTGTTTTTTTTTTTTTTTTTTTGCAGAAGGTGCTTTATTAAATGGCTTTAGAAATGAAGCTGCAATATTTATTTTAGAAAAATAAGATTTCAATATTTTATGTTAATGTAGTAAATAACTTAATCTAAGAGCTAAAAGGTTTTAAATTTTGGTCCTTTTCCCGGTATCCCACTATTTCTCAAACTTTTGCATCCTACTGGTCCTCGTCACGCCAATCTCACCGGACTGTGTTGTAGTCTACTAATTTTACAATTCTAAAAATTACTTAAAACTACTTTTTAAAAATTTATCAAGGCTTTTTTACTGCCAACAAGCATTGACTTTTGGATAGGTACTAAAGTAGACCTCCCATTTATATAGACCAGAAGGCTTATTTTTTTTATTAAAAGAACATAGTTGAATGAGCCCCTGGCAGACTATTAAACAGAAATCAGTCATTTCCGTCAGCACACCTTGTCAGGGGGCAGTTCAGTTTATTTTTATGTGGGATGGAATGTCTGGTTCTATAAATAGCCAAAGGTACAGTATAAAATAATTTCAGAATTAACTACTATAAATAAAGAGTGAACTAACAGTTTGAAATTACAGAATAGTTGGGGATTTGTTCATCAAGTACACTCGTGCTATCAACCGACTGGACCAGTGCTACGACCAGGTTGTGCAGCCACAGAAACGTCAGCTGTTGAAGCGACTACTTGACCTCAGCCTCGGACGGTATCTGGAGCTCAAGCATGAACTTGTCAACCTTGACTTGTCAGAGTTTAGCTACTTTGACGACCTTCTCACTGAACAAAGAGTTTTGCCTTCTGAAGCACAGGTGACTCATAACTTTTGATTGGTTGAATTTCATGGCTGTAATGAGGAAATGCTGACTATCATGAACCTGGTTTTGTGTTTGATTATACAGTAGACTCCCTCTTATCCGGACTCCTTGGGACCGAGGCCAGTCCGGATAACGGGGTTTCTAGTTAAACCGACGTCCCCAAAAACTCGTTAGAACGGACCGTTTACTGTGATTTATTCAACTTAAATTTAGGAGAGCATTGTATTTAGACACGTGATCACTGTTCTAAAATCTTTCCCACGAGAACAGTCGTTTCAGTACCGCCCACTTCCTTCCAATCTAGTCCGGTTAAACCAATGTGATGATAAAAATTGTCCTGTTAAAGAGATGTCAATTCCGCTGAGTGTAGTCCGGTTAAAAGGTGTCCGGATAAGAGGGAGTCTACTGTAAAGTACTCTGTGCTTAGGCAACAACAGCTAATGAAAAACCAAAGCAGCAAACAATGTAAATTCGGTATAATCCATAGTTAGCACTCTAGGGGAATTTTGTATCTTGGAACTTCTACATTTTTAAAGGATACTATAATTTTTGTGTTGTGTTTAGTTTAATATGAAATTGTTTCTCCTAAAAATTCAGGTTTACTTTGAGACAAGGGCTTAATCTGCTCATTAAGTTTTGTGTATCTTCGTAGGATTAACATTGAAAAATTATTGATTATCGTTCTATAGTACAGTAAACAATAAACATGCCTTCTTAATTAGGTGATAGGTGATGAGAAATTGTTAATATCCAGAATCGTTATAGAATAGTGAGGTAGTAAATACTATTTGGATTCTGAATGGGAATAGAAGGTGCATAGTAGCTTAAGAACAGGCAAATACAAGGTTAAAAGAGGCCTCTTTAAGAATATTATGATTTAATAAAGTCTTGAATATTCTTGAAAGTAATAATAATCTTTAAACAATATTTCAAAAAACTACATCCTCCGCAGGTAAACATTCCTAACTACTATAGGCGTGAACGAGCTCAGGAAATTGCAGATCGCAAGAAAACTATGGACGATATTTTAAAAAAGTTGGGGTTTTACGAGGAAGAATATACAGGCATTGAGATGACGGAAGACGAAGCCATCCGACTGATTCAGATACATGAACGGGCACGTCAGGGACGCCTCAGGTTAGATTTAGGCGTTTTTGTAAAAGTTTTTAAAATTTTCATAGAGAAAAGCATTTAAACTTGACTTAATGCAAATAAATTAATGGTCATACATTGTATGACACATAAATATCACAAAATCGAAACGATCATTACTATTTTAGATGTTTGTGAAATAAAAATTATATAACTTACTACAAGTTATGTAGTAAAAAAAAGACTGTTCTCTGACAGTTGTTCTTAACAGCAATTCACAATCTATTTTTTTTTTTTAATTGTCATTTTGACCTCTTTACAAACATCAATAAAACTCAATTTTGAAATAGAATTTTTTGTGAGTATAGCATACCTGAAGAGAAAAATTGCAATCTGCCACAAGAAACACAAAACTTTACGCTATACACAAAAAATAGACTATTTCACTTTCACTGACAGAATTTTGAACATTTTCTTGACCACTCTTGGGCTTGAAGACAATTTCTCTCCAACTGCTCTCAAAACTTCCTCGGTTAAAAATGCTGTTAGTAACAGAGAAATACTCTAGTTTTTGTGTGTGTAGTTTTCTGTTAAATATGCTAGATTGTACTCTGAACTGTTCATGTAAGAGCCGACTACCCTCATAAACATTTCTAAAAACCTGAACCCTTAAGATGTGTGTTACATCCTTCATCTCATATTTTGACATAGATTTAATCCCCTACAGGTCGCAGTTCATGAAGGAGATCCGCCTGCTGAAAGAGAAGGTGAAGGTAGAGCCACCCCCAGAGGACCAAGAGGAGCTTATCAACCGCCATGCGGCACTGCAGATACAGAAACTCTGGCGCGGCTACGTCACTCGGCGCAGAGTGAGGAAGAGAGTCATAGAGGAGATGCTGCTCATAGGTGCAGAATAGGAATTATATATTTATGTTTTACTAACATACTCATCCTACACTCATCTTCATTCATACTTGGCTTAAAATACCTACATTCGTATGGTCGCATTTCATAACTAAGTATTAAAGTACTGTTGTTCTTTTTCTTTATGTTAATGTAAAATTAAATAGAAAGATAATCCAACCATGTCTTTAATGCAACGTCTTTTTAAATTTTCTGTTGGACTGAATAATATGGTGTTTAATAAATTGTGCCACTATTCAAAAATTGCATGTTAAATAAAAATCAAATATAATGCACCGCATATAAAACATAATCACATAGTAACCGACAAACCAAATTATTAAAGGGTGCCTTTTTTTGAGGAGGTGGGAATCTTGTTATGGACAGAGTATGGTACTCGCAGAAGTCCCACCCACCAAAAATAATATAGCTAAGGTTTATAACTGACAAGCTGAGAGATATAAGTGCTTGCCTGGTAATCACAAGGTCGCTGGTTCAATCCCGAGAGAAGTAAGCAGCTATATGATGGTTCAAAACTGGACCCAGCTGACCTTGATCATTGAGGTTTTAATAAATGATCCTGGATAATGAAACAGCTGTTTTTAGTCAGTAACAAGGCTACACAAGACATCTCACTTCATTCTACACTTATCCTTAAACTCATATTCCGATATGCACCTAGGTAACATCCCCATTTCAGTTGGTAATAATAATGGTAAACCCACCCCTCCAGTTCCTAGGAAACTAGCTTGGAACTTTTCAGCAGAATACTTTTGACTAAGTCTTTAAATTATGCCATTAGAACTTTCACTATAGGATATCTGGTGATATAATACCAATGAAGATTGACCTTTTGCTCCCAATATATGAATCAAACTTAAAGCTAATGCCAACATAGATGTATGCGTAAAAAGATGTGTGGAATACATTTGTGTTACTGTAGGTATGTTGCCGCCATCACAAAACTCTGTGGTGGAACGTCAGAGGGCAGCACATGTCAAAGAGCTACGGCGAGAACTCCAGGAGCAATACCAACAGGACTTCCAGGCGGCCATCTTGGACGACAAAGAAGATGTCAGTAGTTGAACAATGTCAGAAATGTTGATTCTAATTTAATGCTATAATAGTAGTACTAATCTATTGCACTAAACTTTGATAATATCCTTACGTAAGACTATTGCTTTACCAAAATATGCATTAAAGAACAAGACAAAAATACTAAATTGGCTGTGTTTATGAAACAAAAGGATCAATAGAATATGCAGCTAAGTAAGGTCGAAAAAGGTTTTTTGATTTGATTCATACAGAGCTGACAATTCATACCCAGGTTTTTTTGTTTTTTTTTTGTGATATTCACACTAAAAAGCGTGAGAATTGAATGGCTGATGTTAGCTTTCTAACTAACTACAATTAGCTGGTTTTTTAAGCAAAACCATTTTATATAATTATCAAAGAAAAGCTGGGTCTGGTTTCAACAATCTAAATGATACTGACTTTTCTCAAGTGAACTGGCAACCTCATGAGTAGGTGAGCAATATACAATTTGCAGCTAGGTTGATTAAGATTAAAGAAGTATTTATATCTGTTGAAGAACTGAGGTGAGAATGTAATGCACTTTTGCACAGTTTTGAAATAAAGAGAAAAACATTACCGTTTTGCAGTTGAAGAAGAACCGTGGGGCTGTAATGGCGGAAGATATGAAGGATGAGATGCGCGCCTGGGTAATGGCGTACAAGGGCCAGACTGGGAAGTTCCCGGAGTTACCAAGTGAGGAGGCTGGAGGCTCAGCTCTGATCTTCAGCAGACAAGGGGCGGAGAGTGAGCTGGGAAGCAAGTCTACAGCTCCTTCATCCAAGGAGGGCAAAGGTACTGTGTCCCAAAATTGAACACTGAATAGTGTCCCTCAAAAAGGTTTAAATATTTCATTTTATATTACTTGTTACGATTTGTATAGTGTATGTATATTCAAACTGTAAATACATTTTGTTTGTAATTACAGTACTGTAACATAAAATATATATTTTTAATCAATATCTCTTGAAATGTGTAAAATAAATCAGAGAGTTTCAAGAATTGTTCTAAGAAATATTTTTTGTAGATATTGGTGAAACCTAGGGAATGCCAAGATTTCCCTTGGCAAACTTAGCAATATTATAATACTGGCGCAGGTTAATAAACTCAGTACCGACAATAAAAAAAAATAAATAAATAATGACGATTTAACATAACAAGTGGACATTTAGAGTACTGTACATGCATTAACTTCAACAACTATGGAAACCTTTGGTTTCAATAGAAACAATTTCATTTTTGATGTTAGCCTCCGGATTACGTTGAATATATAAATTGGTTTAAATACCTGCTTCTAGTAATCCAATTGTTGCAATTTCTGTCACGCAACTAGTTTCGACTTCATACAGAAGTCATCATCAGGCGTCCAGTTGGATGTCAAAATAATCACTTCATCTGAAGGTGGTCGATTCACACATAGTACATTCACACGCAAACACGCACACGAACACGAACATAGACACATAAAAAAGGTACATTTAGAACGATGATAATACTATAGTACTATAGTAATTATCCATAGCCTAACCAAATTTCAAGATGACTCTTGGTACCATTACTTTTCCCAAGAACCAGTTTAATGTTAAGTTAATCATAGGTTATCAAATAGAACAAAAAAATATTTATATACGGTTAACATCCAATTGCAAAGCATTTGGTTTGGCTTGAAACTGTATACCTATAATAGGTTTGCATGCATATCTGGAAAACTGCACTCTTAATATGCAATCCATCTTTTGATCTGAATATAATGGTTCAACTGACTACAAGATCCCTGTCTATAGAGTGGGCACACAGCTAGTATCGAATAAAGTTTTTTTTTTTTAATACATTAATGTAATTTTCTCCATCTTAATAACTTATATGAAATAGTTTAAACTGTTTTTGACAGGGAAAAAAGAAAAAGGTAAAAAGGGAACAAAAGACAAGGATGACGCCAAGAAGAAAAAATCGGATGAAGATGAGGACCCGGGCTTCAAGATGGGAACATCAAGTTTCCTTTCTGATCTGATGGTAGCGGGGGCAGAGTATGACGAGGTATACTCTAGACTCATCAAACTCTTAATTATGTGGTGATTAATGGAAAAACATTGATTTCTGATCTGTACCTTTTGTCGTCTAATTAATGAAGATACTAACTCAAAACATTGGACTGTGGCCAAGGAGAGCCTGCGTCACAATTGGAGAGGGGCTCCATGAGCTTGAGGGAAAGATTTTTATCAAGCGGAATTAGGTAGCCTAGGGAAACTTCCCTTTTGTTCAAAAATCCTTTTTTCCAAACCTATAATGTGATAAAGGTAATGAGGTAATGAGGCTTCAGGAGTGAGTTTTTTAGGAAGGGGGAGTTAAAATGCTGCGGATAGTGTACAGTAGTAGCAAACAACATAAAGCACTCCCACATGTTCAATAATGAATGTAGGTAAGTTTTAGTTTTGCCAAATTATATATTTTAGTTAAATAATGTGTGATTTCTCTACAGACCAGAAATAACATTGTTGCATAATTTTTTTCTATATTTATAACATCTATTAAAATGGTATGACTCTCGCTTAATATGAGCCAGATAAGAACAAAAGCAAACAGTTTGAGAAACTTTTGTTTCAGAATCATTCAAGGTCCTTAAAATCACACAATTGTTCTAATTGTAAAAAAAAATTCTGAATAATCTTACTAATAATATAAATGTGTTACTAATATCCTTATATATAATACGTGAAGGCGATTTCTACGAAACACTACTCCTCCCTTAATAATGGACGGATTTTTACAAACTATGTGTCAAAATTAAGTATTTTTTGTGTAGACTCCCCCTTTCACCGATTCCTAGAGTAAAAGTCCTCGGGCTTTGCACCACAGGCCATAAAAATCCCAATGTACCTATTTCTTATGATGAAAAGATTTTGTTTACTTAAACAGATGAATAATTTGTATTAATAACAGCTGTTCATAGTAAACACATGATACACACATGAGCGCTAGTTTTAATATAATAAATGTGAAAGTTTTTGTGTTTGTTTGTTTGAAGTTCAATCACACACTGGTCGGATTGGGCTGATATTTGGTATGATGATATCTCATGTTCCCAATTAACATATAGACATATTCTTATCTCAAAAATCCTTTCGGGCTCTGAACAGTGGCTCTGAAGTTTCCCATGTTAACCTTATGAGTAATCATATTTAAAAGGAGTTAAAGAATTTAGTCAGCTGTTTCAAATACACAAGTTGGTTCTATGATATTCAATATCATTATGAAGTTATAAAGTTTACCAACCGGGTGAAGCACTATTATTATTATTTTTTTTTTTTATTTATGGGAACAACTTATTTGAACAAAGCAGCAACAAAAAGCTGTGATATACAATAAGAACTTTACTTTGTCCTATTAGCAAATTTCCTATATAGGGAATAAGCTATTCCCGTAGGTCTCATGGTAAGACCTGGACCCAGGACTGATTTACTTTTTCCTTTTGAGGTCCCCAGAGGCCAAAAACACCATCCGTTCAAATTCATATATACATTTATATATGTGTCCGTTAGCACGATAACTTGAGCAAAAATGATCCAATTTTGATGAAATTTGCTATGAATGTGTACACCTACATTTATTCGAACAAGTTTGTGAATGGGGTAAAAATGGGGTTTTCTCATTTTTCACCCTGAAAACATAAAATTTTGCAATTTCTTTACAAACCATTTTGTAAATACAAATCATTTAGTGTATTGAACGTTGTTGTATGCCTAACGGTTATGGAAAAATTCCCAAAAAAATTTAAATTTAAAATTACCGTTATTTTTATGGAGAATAAATAAACTGTAGCTTGCTTGTCTATGGACATATTTTAATGAAATTTTGTTTACTTCATACTAAGCTATCGATATTTCAATAAAAACTCCTATTTTCTTCCCTGTAGCAGCAAACCTAAATACTCATTAAAATTAATGATATTTAAATAGAAAATAAATCTGACTAATTTTAAGGGATAATTTAGTAGGATTCCCCTCAGTTAGATGGAAATTCTTTCAGGCAGTTGTGGTTATAAGACAACAAATTTGAAAAGAATCTAACAAGTGTTAAAGTGAATTTCTGGGAAGCCATAGTAAGTTCTGTGTGTAATGTGTAGGTATGGCGAGGCAGGGACGAGAGTGTCAACCCCCGGCAGACCTACTACCCTGAGATCATACATGACCAGAACACAGCACACCTAGAGGCTGAAATCAGGAAGGTAAAACTACTGGGGGAGCTTGAGCTTGGTCAGATAGCTTGCTGTCAGTAGCCTACTTATTTCAAAGCAAAGATGAGTAAATTATGAGTGTTGAATGAATTTTAGTGACTTATCATTCATCCTAATCATACCAAGGACAGTTTGCTCCAGTTTCAAATTATCAAATCGTCACAGACTTTTGATGAAACTTCACTTCGTTCACAAAATTTAGGCGGTTTGGGTAAGGGTGATTCCATCCCCTCCCCTCCACTTCACCCTTACAATGAAACAACACCCGATAGCTGATATGTACATAAGCTAAAAAGTGGGGGGGACCCAGGAAACCTTTCACCTAAATTTTGTATAGGGACTATATCAACTTTATGCTTTTAAGTCGAAGACTAATCACTTAGTGAGGTATTAAGATAAATGGATCCAGAGCTTTCTTGTATCCCTAAAGACAATTTTGTTATAGCATCACTGACACACTAATTGACACACTGTAAAACGTTGTTATTTTGGCACCAAATAGTTTATTACAACTCCACATATTTCTCCTTGTTCCAATGCACTAAGTACAAAATAGGTACAATGTATTTAACACTTGGTACATAGGCTAATGGTGGCCAACATCTCCCAACTCTCACATTCAGTGCTATCTCCAGTTGAACCTTGGAACAATAAGGGTTTGTTTACAAAAATATCATGTTATTGCTATACTTAATTTTTTTTTAATAATATAAATAAATTAAATATTTTCTATTAGGTAATTGATGAGGAACTGAGAGCAGAACTTGAATTGTTGCAAGCGGCTTTAGACAGAGATCGAGCTAAGAAAGGCAAGAAAGGAAAAAAAGGAAGTAAGAAAAAGAAGGGAAGACGGACTGGAAAAAAAGGAAAGAAGAAGAAAGAAAAGGATTTAACCCCAGATCGCACTTTGGAATCACTGTTTGAAGAATTGATTACAAATGGAATAATCAAGAAATACCCTGAGACACCTCTGTCATCATTTATAGGGGAGAGATCTTATGCAGCCTCTGAACTGAGATTTCAGGGAAAAGATCCTCTACCATCCCTTGGAGACATTCGTCAGGTAATAAATAATCCAAGGTAGTAGAATGATCAATGTAAGGACCATTTACACAAAGTTTAAATCGTAAATTTAAACAATATAAAATGTCTGCATTTACCAAGAAAGGCTAAAGGCTACTGTTCTCAATGCTAGTTAAACAGAATGTACATAATATACCTTATCAAGGGTAAAAATATTTAACAAATAACATTTAACATGAACAAGAACACCATGACCATGATAACTGATGATCTAAAAACACCTCTACTGTGACACATAGGATAAATTGTTAGGTCGGTACTGCTACCAAGAATTGAGGGGTAGTCTAGAGGTCTGCAGATATGAGGATGAGGAGTAGACCAATTGTCAGGTATGTAGTGATACTTAAATGATCAGAAATTACTGCCAAGTTAAGGTGAATAGCGCCCGCTGGTGTATTTACCCTCTACACAGCATATGACAACATTTTTTAGCTTAAAGTATTTTTTTAAGTTACCAAGTACAATCAGAGGCAACAAAAGGGGTTGTTTCAGCATATCTGCACAATATACAGTCTTACCACATGGAATAGGACATAGTTTCTAGAGTCGGATAAAACAGAAGATGGGATAGCCATAGATTGAACGATAGAGACGGTACTGTATTAGTCCTAATGAAACAAGTTTCTTCAAATACTGATTGAACTTTGGAATCACATATATCTTGTAAAACATAGAAGTTACTTTGCAAATGGATAATTTCTTACATTGCTCACCATTCGATCAATTCCCCAGGTGATGCTGGAGTATTGTATTCTGCCACTTGGTTCCAAGACCATCCACCAGGTGTCTCCCCTGGTAAGGTCTATGCTGATTGCTGGACCGCGGGGGACAGGCAAGGACATGTTGGTGCACGCCGTGTGTACTGAGGCCGGCGCAGTGCTGTTCGACCTCACTGCTGCCAACATCGTGGGTAAATATCCTGGTAAGAGCGGCCTCATCATGCTCATACATCTGGTCAGCAAAGTTTCCAGGTAACTATCTTTCTTAATTAGATTGCCACACAGCATTTAAGATAGTATAGTATTTTGTGCTGGTAAATCCCCCATTACAAACCATTTTTTAGAAAAGTTTGGTGGATTTATTTCAACTAAATTACACCATTTGGGTGATAAATAAATAATCTAATGAAGTAGATACAGTAAAACCCCGATAGCAAGACTCTCATGGGGATTTTTAAATAAAACTTGTTATAAAGGTTGACATCATATCAAGGTTTGCAATAATATGTGATTAAGGGTCAAATAGATTCTAGGGTATTTGAAAATGATATATTGAAGTGTCACTGTATACCCGTCTAAAAGGACCAGCTTTTGCCAATGTTCTACTAAAAATAACTTAATTTAAACCTACTAATCTAATGTGTTGCGGTCTAAATTTATATTTTTCCCCTTTGTTTTTGTTACTGTGACATAAAAGAAGCTATCCTTCACAATAAGTTGTTCGTTCAGTTTGGCAATAGTAAAAGGTTTTGACAGAAATCATTTACATCAGCACACTCTCACATTCAATTCAGTACAATCATTTTTGTTGTAAAACAGGTTACATACTCAACATGAGACTGGGACGTATTAGTTCTGTTCTATCATTAGCAAAAGGAGGATTTCATAAATGTGTTTCAAACATTTGTTGTTGTTGTGCTGTCTACAACTGTTTATTGGTTTCCGACTATAAAAGGAAAATTGTAAACCTAGCTCGACCATTCTTATTTTTCTAAATATTGGCTAACATTAACATACTGTTGAGAAAGGAATAACTTCCTGCTTCCTTACATCATGCAGGATACTCAAAATACAACAAAGTTCAATTGATATTCAACCAAAGATTTTTGACAAACATTTATAATATTTCATAGAAGTTTCACTATTCAAACCACCTATATTTCAAACACCTATTTGAGTATTACCATTTACGGTTCATTCATAAGAGTAGAATATATTGGTATGTAACTAATTGGTAAATAACTTCCAGATTGTTGCAGCCGTCAGTTATATACATGGACGGAGCAGAAAAGCCATTCTTAAAAAAAGTGCCAAAAACTGATAAGACTGACCCAAAAAGGTTGAAGAAAGATTTACCTAAGCTGGTGAAAAGTATTAGTCCCGATGATCAGGTATAACTTAATGATAATATGACTGACAAAGTACAGATTATGTATGTTTCTAATAGCCAACATGAAATTAGTCTTGATGTAAAGGGGATGGAGATGCTATTTCCATTATGTAATAGAATATTTTGACAATTTTTCTATTATTGCATAAATTAGGCCTCATAACAATATATCAGTAAGCTAAATGCCAAATTATGGACTTTGGAACATTCTTAAAAATGGTCCTGATGATCATTTGGCTTTTAAAAAACAGTGCTGTCTAAAGAACCAGTATTACCATTTACGGTTCATTCATAGGAGTAGATAGATTGGTATGTAACAATCTACATTACAACAATATAATTTAATTTAGGTCCAATGTCCTATAAAGTGATAGTGATGTTAACACTCTCAGCAGGATCAGGGGCCCTATTTTTGAAATGGTTGACTGTTGAGTTGAGTGTTGTTGAGTCACTCAATTTCCAATCGTTCGTAGTTTTCAAGGATTGACAGTTAGTAGTTGACTTATCCAACCAAACTTAATCAATTAATTGGTTTTCCTGTATAGGCTTCCATGGTCACTTAATGTATAATCGTGGTCTTCTGGCGACGACCGTGTCAAAAACAATGAAACACTAACACTCACCGACGTTTCGACCTCGACACAGAGTGCCATCTTCAGGACGACTTGACTCTGCACAGATGAAAAATCAAGTGGTTTTTCATATAGGTGGGTTTTTCCACTTGATTTTTCATCTGTGCAGAGTCAAGTCGTCCTGAAGATGGCACTCTGTATCGAGGTTGAAACTTGAAACGTCGGTGAGTGTTATTGTTTCATTGTTTTTGACACGGTCGTTGCCAGAAGACCATGATTCTATAATTAATTGGTTATATAATAATAAAATACATTTAAGCCATTTGTCCTGACAGGTTCTATTACTGGGGGTATCCCATTGTCCATGGGAGTGTGACCAGAAGCTGCTTGCACAGGCCTATCACAAGATGGTGCTGGTGTTGCGGCCCGACTACGCAAGTCTGCAACTTATATGGGCACAGTTGCTGTTCCAGTACAGCGGCGTCAGTCGTCAATTTGACACTGGGGCTCTCACACGCCTCTCTGACGGATACACCGTCGGCACGCTCGTTAACGTTGTCAAAGAGGCGAGTTTTTTATGACAGTACTGTAAAAGTATTTGGTATCTGATAAATGGCCTACTAAATAAAAAGCTGGTCTTAGTAACAAAGTTTTACAGATCACCTCACTTTATTCTATTCCACACTTACTTATCTTGCTTTCATTTTCAGCTTAAAATTCACATCTAGATGGTGTTGTTATTCCAAATACAATGATAATGATGGAAAGTATCAGGCACAAAGTTGAAAAAGAACATTTTGTAACAAAAGTGACCACTCGATTACTAATAAGAATAAGTTACACAATAGTTCAGAATGTACTCAGTGATCCATTACTGACTAATTTTGGTCAAATTGTTGCATAATTTGCATTTTTTGGATACAGGAGGAAAACCTAGTTAGTTTTTGGTCAATAGAAGCTGAGCAAGAGTACCAGGTAAATCACTTGAATGCTGGAAGTAGCATGGCAAGCAGGCAGAATATTGCTAAGTAGTCACTAAAATTATTCACTACCGGCAAAGTAGTTGTTGTCACATTCATCAAGTGGGTCAAATGAGTGATTTCAATAGGAACTTTCTGTCCGTAGGTCATGACATGCAAACGCATTCTACAACTCAGTATACAACCACTAACGTTAGCAGAGATAATCAATGTGTTGGCTCGCTATGAACCGATTTACAAAGAGGAAGAGGAACAGTTTCTGGCTTGGTTCAGCAAAACTCCACTGGGGAGGAGGAAAACACGAGCTCTAGAACTTGAACAGGAACAACAACTTAACAAGGAGAGTGTGAATAAGAATAAAAAGAAATAATCATCGGCAAAAAACGTGCTGAGTATTTATATATCCAAGGAAAATTTCATAAACAATGTTGTTGTGTTCAATTCACATACACGGATGTAATAGCTCAAGTGTACCTTTTTACAATAACTACCAATCAGTCAATAACTACAGTATCAGTCTCTTTGTAAAAGCAAACAATGGCTTGATTTGAAAGTGATTTTATACACTGTCTATGTATTATATTTTTGATTTAAGTTGGTATTTTTCAAATTAGCTTCAACAAAATAATTTGTCAGCTATTTTAACGTTAAGTATTTAAGGATCAAATTAATTTTTTTAACTTTTGTTACAACAAAAATAAAATGTTTTGGGATGGAATAAAAAAATAACATTATTAGTTAATTAATCTGGCAAGTACAATAAACGGTAAATTATAAGTTCAGAATTAAATAATTTAATGTAAAAAAAAATGTATAAGCTTAATCTTACTCAAAACTTTATGGTGCATGTTTGGAAGTTATGACTAAAGCTACTAGGGAAAAAATCACACTTCTTATATTTAATAGTGTATAATTTTCAATAAATGTATAGGCCTATATTACAAAAAATTAATCCCTAAAAAGTAATCTATTACTTGAGCTAGCTGTAGAAAGGAGACTTCACGTTGATATCAATGTTGTCTCTTCACAACTAAGTACCACCTCTGTGACAGACATAAACATTGTGTCAAAACAGAGCAACAACTGATGAACATGCTAAGTAGCTTCAATAAATAGTACTAATTATTCAAGAACAAAATAGTATATTTCGACTCTTTATGACCCGAAGTTAAGTTTTACGATCTAGGCGAAGTCGGGGTTGGAAAATGAGCGAGGGTTAAAAGGTCACTTTTTGCGCGTGTGGTGAACTATACTTTTTGTCATAATGCATCATTAATTAACAAACAAAGCTAGAAAACGAAATAATTTGTAAAGATAACCTCTCAAAATGACTTCCAGCTTGTTTTTAATTCTGCTAATGCAAATAAGCAGCTGTTTAGTAAGTGATTCAATCATTTTGTGTATTCTATTTTGATAATGTTACAGTACATTATACCATCTATATGTCGAGCAATCAACAACAATAGGCTCAAATCTTACCTAATAAATCAATTGATAAATAATTTTGATCAATACAATTGCCGCAGTTAAAATGTACAACAGCTAATTTTTACTCCCTAGACACTAAAAATGCTACTTTAGACCCGCAATGCATGCATTAAAAACGGCTGATTTGCTGCAGTATGATGATAAAGCAATTTTCATAGCTTATAGAATTGTTAATCCTAAAAAGTAAACATTACCATGACAGGTATTTATTTGTTCTATAGTGGTGTGTCAATATACCACAATTTACAAGGAAACAAAATGGATTTTGACACATATTATTAGTCTGAACCCTTGTCAAATACTATTTTCTAAGTTTTCAGTTTTCCTGTTGTTGCAATATAGGTATCAGCATAGATTCCTGGACAGTAAGATTCTTTTCATTAAACAAAATTGCAGACTTAAAAGTTTGCAAATTTTTACTTCAATGCTATATAAACTGTTTTTAATTTTGTAGTATGCGCATCACATGGTTAATGAACGATGTTGAAATTTTAATAAACACTAGGTAATTTTTTAATTAATTTTAGTAAAGAAAAGAATTTTTTAATAAAAATAAATAGATAAACCTTAAAAAACTGGATTTCCAATGACAAAGAAATACACTTAAAATATTCAATAATTTATAACAGCTAAAAACAACACTGATTAATTTAGGTGTTTGCCATCGGCCCATAAATAATTTCTCATTATAGTTAGTGAACTTCTTAAAGTTTCATGTATAATAATTAAAAAAAAAAGGATCAGTCCAAATCATTTAGAGAAAAAACAGTTGAAACCTTTGTTTTTACCATCTAACATCAATCTTTGATAGTACAGCTCATAGCCAAATAACAATGGCATAGTCTATGAGTTGAATATAAAATCTATCTCGCTTGGAATCAGCCTTAAAATTTGAAGATGGATACTATAACCACTTTACTACTAATACGATTTTGAACACTATCACGAATAATTTATTTTTAACACAAGTTGTAATCTAAATAGTGATACTCACTGTTGACGATCTGCTTGAGCGCTGCTACAGCAGGAGATTCAGGCATCTCTGACAGGAAGTCTCGACCCTCGTCACAACACCTGGCCAACATAGGATCTAGTGGCATTTGTCCTAACAAGGGCACTCCTAGGTCTACACACATCTGTGCGGCTCCCCCACTGTCAGCAGGGAATATACTGGAGTGTACCTAAACCATTGCAAACATTGTAGCATCATTGGCACTACAACACACTAGGGTCATTCAAAAAATTCTGAAATTATGATTATGATTTCGGAGCGAAAAGCTAAGAAATTTTTTATTGAAGAAAATTAAACGTGATTGTCCCTTCTAAAATCCGGCTACTCTTTCCTAAGATGTAAGATGTGATGTTTTCAATCTGGTACTCCATCGAAAACGGATTAATCAAAATTATGTATCAATGGGCATTTTTTAAACCAATATTTTATTTTTTTTTTTCAAATAAACTATTCAAATGCCATTGAAAAACCAATTTGAAACCGATGTGTAGAGCAAGTCTTCTTATTTTCTATTGAAAAACAAGGAAAGATTGATAGTTTGAATCTGAACCTAAAAGGGTAATTTATCTACTTTGTTATCTTGTGTTTTAACTAATATTAAAGTATCTTGCCATCAAAACAAATGACAATAACTAAATGCTCTTTCTATACTAGATTCACATATTGGTAAACCTGTTAAATAATAAATATACCGTTTGAATTCACAAAAACAAAATAGCTATTAGATAATATTACCTTGCATTTGGGACAGACAAAGGCACTCATATTTTCCACGACTCCCAACACTGGGATGTTGACTTTTCGGCAAAAGTCGATTTCCTTCCTTACATCTAATAGTGAAACCTGAAATTTAAATCATAATTTATTAGCAAAATAGTGTTATTGCATAATTTTTATGATCAGCAAGGTGCAAATAAATATGTTAAGTACAAGCTTTATTCTTCTGTATTAACATTAAGTAGTAGGTTTTTGTAAAGTATATGGGGTTTCTGTAGGGTTGGGCTCAACTCCTATTGAAATTCATTCCCAGTTGACAAAATGTACACAGATACGTGTTTAGACATAAAAATTGTGCATAGGTGGCTTGGGGAGTTTGCAGAAGGCCATTCACATTTGCACAACAAGGCTGGAAGCAGGTGTACATAAGTTTTGTCAGATGTTGATTAAACATTGCTGATTGTCATGGTAGTCTTATAGAGACCTCCCCTAACAGTTCAGTAATCCCACATCTCCTTTAACTTTAGTCACTAACTTACAAGACTGATGAGTGACCACAGCTAGCATACACTGTGCCAAACATCGTTAAAATATTTATGACCAACTCTAATTCCAACCATCTCTTTAGCATATTTTCTATGTCGTAATACTCCATTCACGTCGTTGGCACCCAAGACCACAGAAATCACATCATAGAACTTGATTCATACTTGGTAAGAGTGTAGAATTTCCTCCACATATAATAAATTGTCACATAGGGGTTGGAACCAGCTAGAGGATGAAGTAAAGGTGTAAGATTTGAGCTAGGTTGCTTGGCTGTACCTCCTGAGGTGTGGTGACTATGATGGCAGCCAGGCCAGGACATGTCTTGAGGTATGTAGCTGCTGACAGGTGTTCATCTGATGTTCCCGGGGGAGTGTCCAGCACTAGGTAGTCCACACTGTCACCCCAGTCCACCTCACTGAGGAACTGTCTGATCATACCTAGAAATTACATCAGACACAAAATTATAATAAAGTATTAAGTATTGTTCACTATTAGACAATATTTACCAAATAAATAACTAGAAGATTACAAAAATATTGTATTTCTTAATCCTAGTATACAAAAAATCATTGTATGAATATTCAACTGTTTCAGCCCTTTTTATTCTGAAGTAGATTCCCACATTGGTTTGAGACCTCACAGTTTATTTGGCAAAAAAAAAACAGAATAATGATTTATTGATCAATAGCTCGAGGATGACATCACCACTTGCGCTGACAATCGTCTGCTTCTACACATCTGTCTAGGCGCTGTCACGTAATAGATTTTATTAGCTCGGGACTGATGACGACGTAATGCTTAGTAGCAAAGTACCAGTACGCTTTTAACAAAGAAAATATGTAAAATCCAGGGTTGAGAGAAGGATCAAACAATACTGTTTACTCATTGTAGTTATACTCAATATCCAAAAGAGTTAATTATCAGTAACAACAATCTTGAATACATTACAGGTCCTCACCATTTTTCTTGGGTCCTCGCCAGATGACAGCGTCGTCTGCCGATGCCAACAAGAAGCCGATAGACATCACACACAAGTTGTCCTCCACAAACTGAAAATCATGATGGCAATTGTTGTAGATAGAATTTACTATCAATGAGTTATTTGTGAACACATTATCACAATATTATAACCTGACTAAAACAGTAAAAATTACTTATTATTTGGCAGACAAATCATTGGAAAAAATATAAACACCTCATCAGAACAACCTGCATTAGGTAACAAATCATGTTCAGAAAAAAACAAGACTCAACACCCATTAGCTCAAGCAGTTCCATTTCATCAGGAATGGTCTACAATTAAATGTAAGAGACAATAATTTATAAATAAAAATACTTTTTAAAAATAACACGTTTTTAAACGCACTAAAAAGTATAAAATAATTTATAAAATGTTGAGAGAATAAATACTTGTAAGATTTAAAACGAAAAACGTGGGGCGCATGCTGATTTACAATTAACTTCACCTATTAATTGAACTATTATGATATATTGCACGCGCCCCACGTTTTTCGTTTTAAATCTTACAAGTATTTATTCTTTCAACATTTTATAAATTATTTTATACTTTTTAGTGCGTTTAAAAACGTGTTATTTTTAAAAAGTATTTTTATTTATAAATTATTATCTTGTTTTTAGTCTTTAATGTGTAAATATGTTAAATCTATTTTATATAGCCTCTTAAAGCATAACCAAAACCCAAAACCTTATTATCTGTAATCAGATGTTTTATCTTTACTTTGAAATGATTGTTTTATATTTTTAGAATATCTCGGGAGCAGAACCTGTACCTCTAAACCTCTGCTCTTCTAACTGTCAAATTTAAGTATTTACAGCTGACTTAAATTAATTTATATGTTTACATTCTTTTAAAATGTAAACATGGAAAATTTGGAAGCCAAAGGGGCGTAGCCCAAGGGAAATATGAAAATTAAATTATATAATATTGCATTGTCATCCATTTGTGAGCTATGTTTCAAGTTTCAAGTCTCTAGCTCATCGGAAACTTCGTTTAAAATTGATATCAAAATTTGCAGGAAAGCGAGCTAATAAAAACAAGCCCTTGGGGCGTAGCCCAAGGGAAATATGAAAATTAAATGATATAATATTGCATCGTCATCCATTTATGAGCTATGTTTCAAATTTCAAGTCTCTAGCTCATCGGGAAGTATCAAAATTTGCAAGAAAGCGATTTAATTAAAACAAGCCCATGGGGCGTAGCCCAAGGGAAATATGAAAATTAAATGATATATCATTGCATTGTCTTCCATTTGTGAGCCATGTTTCAAGTTTCAAGTCTCTAGCTCGTCGGGAAGTTAGTATAAAATTGATTTCAAAATTAGTACCGGACAAGAAAGCGAGCTAATAAAAACGTTTTAAAAACAGTTGTGTTTTGTATATTGGCTTGTATATTCACAGCAGAATCAAATTGTGATAAAATAGGTGCTGGGTGGAAACACACAGCTAGTCAGACAGCAGCTCTCCCACCATAGCAATAATATTAATGCACACATTGCAAACGTTTTCACCATCATCGTTACAAAAAAATGTTAGGCTTCGTCCACAATATTTCTGCAGACCTTTACAATCCTAGCAACATGACTGCAGGAGTAGCAATAGTTTTCAGATCTTGCTTTGGAAGTCCTAAGCCTTCTCAGTGTCTCACCAGGCACTTAGATCTGCAGATGAGTCATAATAGAGCAGAAATATTTTTAAACAAACCACAATATTATTCCTTTACCTATTTTAGTGCTTGAGGATCAGTATTGTTTGAACAGTAACTAACTTAGAGGAAAAATATACATCACTGGTTAAAGTAAACAGTACAGGGAAAGTCTGAAGTTATTGAGTGGTCAGTCACAATCTAATCAACGGTATGATCTTAGTATGGACATGACTTGTGATGCAACTACCTAAATATGGGTGTGACACGCTGATTATTAATCAAACTAGGAGAGAAAATTTAGGTTGGGTGTGGCAAAACAAAATTGTGGTATAATGGGATTAAAAAACAATTGAGTTGCTTAAATCACCTGCATTGACAAGAAAGATACCCATTTAACAGCCTAAATTTATTTGTAATAAATAAAAACGATCTTGCAATGCAGCAGGCTTTTTGCATTTTAATTCTACTAGACTGTAAAAAGCTAATAATTGCTTTATTATAAACTAGGGACATAACATTTGCTTGTTAAATAAAGCAACCAAAGAAAATACAGAAGTATTCTATCTGCTTACCACAGGCGACCATCCAGAGCCACTTTGATGAACCTAAACAAACATTACATCTCTATTATTCAGGTGACTATTACAGCCTTGTATAGATCTCTGTTAGAATAAATGTCTTGTTCTTAAAATTTTGCTGGTGAGCTATAGCAACTGGTATGAACTTAGCCAGCAAGAAAATACAAGGTAGAAAATAGAGTTTTAGTCACTAGCGCATTCTGTGACTGGCTCACACAACTACGTTCTTTTTTAACAATTTAACAAACAATTGGCTACAGCTGGTCCATATAGGTGAGACATCTACTTCAGTATCCAATAGTCAATGATAATACCAAAGAATTAAAAGATATAAATTATAATAAAAAGTTTAGACGTAAACTCAAAACATTTTTGATAGAAAGGCCCATCTACTTTATAGGTGAACTGTTTATGAACGTAAATAGCTATAGATAGTTTTATTTTCTATATTTTTTTTTTAGGTTAAGTATTTGTACATAGTAACTATTAGCTTGACACTATTTATTGTACATCTTGTACATGCTATAAATAAAGATGATTTTAATTTGTCACAAAGACATGCACTCTGTATTTTCTTGTAAAAACGGTGTATCCATTAATAAATAAAGGATCGAAAACAAGTACAGTATAAAGTAATCAAAAGCATTAGTTTATTAATGCTTTACGTTTTTGTTAACAAAACCAGGGGACGAGCTAAAACGAGCTAACGAGGTTAAAAACAAGAAACAAAATGTACACAAGAACACGCCCCTAGCGGCACCGGATGGTGGATGGAACTAATATAAAACTGTCTTCAGCTGATTCATAAGGATGACAAATCACTAAGAGCGTAAATGTTTAATCTACGGTTTTAGTCAGTAGCACTACACATGGGATAGTTGTAATCATCATTGTGTAAGCTGAAGAAATGAAACTTAGTTTATTTAAATTAATGTAAGCTACTCACCTCTTCACCGACGGCTCCCATAATCCGTGGCACCGACGGGCCACACACATCTAAATCTAGCAACGCTACCTGCAGCAATATCACATTTAAATTAGTGAAACTATTTAGATATCAAAATATTCATTATAATAAATCAATTATTAAATTTATGTTTCATGAGGAATTTTGATGAGTTTTAGCAAACTTACCATATATGAAATAAGCTATTACCGTAGGTTAATCATAAGATCTAGATCCAGGACCACATTTTACTTTTTTGTTTTGATAAGTGGACAAAAACATCCGTTCAAATTTATATATCTAGATACGGTAACTCAAACTTGATAGCTCAAATAAAAATCATTGAATTTTGATTAAATTTGGTACAAAAATTTAAATCTACACATATTATCCAATGAATAATTGGAAAGATTGTGTTAATAGTTGTCCAGTTGGGGAGCGAGCTGGTCTAGTGGTTAGAGTGTGAGACTTCGGTTCCTGGGGTCCCGGATTCAAATCCCGTCAAATCACCAATGGATTTTATCTAAGTGATAATGCCGCAACCCCTAGGTCTAGCCTGAAGTAATGTGAAAAACAATCCCAGGCTCGTGCCTAGCATTCTAGGACAAAAAAAAATTGTCAGTTAAAATAAATACAAATAAAGTACAGAAAAACTTGCTAATGATTCAAATAAAAAATAACATGAATTAAAAAATTAACATGATCAACATAGAGGATAAGGACTTGCAAGCATAAGTTGTACAGGCTACAAAAGTTTTGACAGAAAGATTACAAATTACTTGTGACAGAGGGGGAGCCCTTATTGTTTTTGCTCGGCAAAACCCGTTACAAGATTGATAGGGGTAGGAGTTGCGTGAGAACTATCAATGGTATAGCCTTCCAGATCTCTGGGAACCTTCACAACGTCATATGCCTGCATGACTTCTGCCAAAAACATTCTGTAGGCTACATGTTTAAATGTGCTAAATAAATATTTAACAACATCTTTGGGTGAGAAAATCTAATGCATTAATAACAAAGATATTGTATTAATTATTGTACAAATATATTAACACAATAATTGTCAAAATACAAAGAGCAGTATTGAACAATAACCACCGAAAAACATTGTTCAACTAGGTTTTATTTTAATTTATCCAACATATTATATAATATAATTATGTAAAATTGTGTATTTTTGTTTATAAGGTTAATTCAACGGTGACAAATTAAATCACATTGTTTGTTCTTTTCAAACAATTACAATAGACCTGATGCTATGAATATTGTATGAAATATTGAAATGAAACACATCCTCCTAAACTAAATGTATTTGAAAAATCTGAGTATTCACTTAAAACATAGCTTGTGTTAGTTTTGAAATCTGTTCCTGTCTTTTAAAGTGTCCCATTTTTTAATACAGACATTTAAAACCAACTAAGCTAATCAGACAACAGTATTTTTTTAAGTTTGTGTTCATTATTCTTACTTAGCACTTTCAACTAACTAACGATAGACTTTTCTATAGGAGATATCTTTTGCTAAAAAGAGTCAATACACTCGTCAGGATGAAATTATTTTCAATAACAACAAGGCCCAAACATGTTTTTCTCCATCGTAAATGTTTAGAAAACCATCAATAGTTTTCTGCTTGGAGCAAATTTTTCAAAATACTTTTTTACAACTTATATACAGGGTGTCCCGGAACTCTCTACCAATATTTTAGGACATTGTTCCTTGGTAGTTAACATACCTAAATATCATATTTAAATTGTCCGGAAGTCCTTAGTTACTCACACAGCCGCCATTTTGTTTTTTTAAGTTATTAATTTTGTTCTAAGGAATGGTGAAACATACGAAATTGAAACTTTGCACAAATATTTATGACAACTAGACAAAGCTACCAAAAAATTATGACGATTTTTGAAATTCATAAAACAAAATGGCGGCCATTTTAAATTTTGTTTCTTAAATAACTTGAAAACCGTTGATTTTACAAAAACTTTACAAGAATAACTTTTTTAAGGCAATTTTATTACAAATCGATTGACACCTTAATTTTGAAGATTGGACAAGTATTAACTGAGATATGGTAGTTTTAGTGATACGTAACCACTGGAGGTTAGTTGCAGCGCATGCTGAAAGCGGTCACGTATCACTAAAACTACCATATCTCAGTTAATACTTGTCCAATCTTCAAAATTAAGGTGTCAATCGATTTGTAATAAAATTGTTTTAAAAAAGTTATTCTTGTAAAATTTTTGTAAAATCAACGGTTTTCGAGTTATTTAAGAAACAAAATTTAAAATGGCCGCCATTTTGTTTTATGAATTTCAAAAATCTTCATAATTTTTTGGTAGCTTTGTCTAGTTGTCATAAATGTTTGTGCAAAGTTTCAATTTCGTATTTTTTACCATTCCCTAGAAAAAAATTAATAACTTAAAAAAACAAAATGGCGGCTGTGTGAGTAACTAAGGACTTCCGGACAATTTAAATATGATATTTAGGTATGTTAACTACCCAGGAACAATGCCCTAAAATATTGGTAGAGAGTTCCGGGACACCCTGTATATAAATAAATTCAGTCATGTGAACCAAATTTAAACTTTTTACTGAACAGATTTATTATAGGCCTAGTACTGAAAAAATCTCACTTAATCTCATTTCAACTTAAGCATTTTCCCAACTTTTGCCTACTTTGCATCACAAAAAGAGAGATGTATGATTCTGCGGCATGGGAGGGGAATTAGCAATTCAGAAGGACAAGGTAGGCTTACAGAATGATCAATACGGAGTCTTGGCACGGGTAGGCACTGTACCTCTGACTCTGTCACACTACTCCACATCTTACTTACGCCAACTTCACCTACTACAACTGCTGTGGTTGGTACTAGGCTACCTTTAGAAATAAATAACTTGCACCTACACAATTCAGATAATACAGGATGTATTACTCTCAAAAATTTTCTTTTATAAGTTAATTGTTTAAAATTTGTTATTTAAATTACCAGAGGCCTAAATATTATATAAACAAACTTTCACTGTTTAAAAGATATTTTTTGCAACTAAAAGTTACAGGGTATTTAAGAAAGAGATATATAAAAGATTAGAAATACTAACGTTTGATTGTCAATGATAACAGAAATAATAAAAATAGGCCTACTTAAATACTAAATTGGTTTCACTCAGTAAAGGATGTTTATGAAGCTTAAATATATCAAATCAAATTATTTTTCTACAAAAATGGCTGTATCTAGCTAGCCTTATATATAACAGTTTAAACATTCTAAAATTATAACTGACTACAGTAAAGTTTTGTTTACATGTGTGATAGGTTCAAATGTTACACAACTTAGAGCAAAATGCATACCGTATGCATATTATTTTAATATTAAATAGGAGTATTACCAACTTAACACTGTATGCCATTTTTCATTTAGTTATAGCCTATAGATGCAAAAACGATAATTTTGCTTTTTAGGATAAGCCTGATTATTGGTATGAAAGTTGATTTATGTTTGATTAGTTATTGTGTTTTAGTACTCATCTGAATATTGTGGAAGCGATAACACTTCACAAGTGCATTTGCTCTATCCTGTACCATTGACTATATACGCTACATAAGTAGGCAAAATATTGTTTATGGAAGAATGAAACCGGTATAAGAGGTGTGATTTATATAAACTTACCCATTTATCAAATAATGCTTTGTGTCACAACCTATTATAGCTTTCTGTATGGTACTCATTTTTTTTTTTTTTTTTTTTTTTTAATTGGTCATCATTTGTTTTAAATTGGTGACAGAGCCAAGTTTTCAACGGTTCAAAAAATAACAACAATACGTTTCAATCTATCTGAATACCTGTGTCAATTAAAACAGCATGTTGAAAATAGAATATAGTTTACATTTAAGTCAATTGCATATTTAAATATTGTTGATTTTACAAGGTAGGCTACCTGTATTTTTTTAGTCTAATTAGGCCTACTCTCAAATAGTGTTTTTAGTAATTTATCTCCATAACATCTTCTACCTTAGAAAATGTTGCTTTATTTACAGGATATATACTTCACTTTTTGTAAGAAATTGCTTAAACAGTTTAAAAGTTCTTTATTGACAGTCTTTTATAGGAAGTAGTCCAAACCAATTAGCTAAAAAAAAATGTTAATTTAAAAATCTTTCAACAGTGTACTTTCAATAACTGTAGGCCTACTTGTTACTTTTAATGGTCACAATGCAAAAAACAAGTTCAATAAAATTAATTCTGCAAGTTTATTTTAAACTACGCCTATCATAAAAAATAGCAGCTTGACTTATGTTTATGTAAAACTAGTGGCTTGTAGGGGCCATAGCCCCTAATTTAGACTAAAATAAAAAACCATATATAAAAATACAAATAATCGAAATATGTTTTTAAAATTATCAATTGTATGTTACTTAAAATTAACAGTGTTTATTGTTTTATATCTTGGGTTTCCTTCCGTTGGAGTAGTATATTAGTTGCTTCTGATGTGTCAATGAAATACAAAAGTAAAATAATGATTAAATCAATAACACAACATATTAACAAATGGAAACGTGCACACGGTTTAGCCTGAGCCCGGAGAACGACGAATCAGAGCTGAAATCATACAGCCAAACATTGCACATCTTTTCTAGTTTAAAATTGAAGATTTGTTTTGTAATCCTACGAATTCTGTTATAGTTTCCATTTTGAGAACCAAATGTAAAGTTTAATATTATTATTAATTATTATGAGGGCAACTCTTCCATTTCGCGGTAGTAAGTCTGAAATATATCTATGAATTTGTCCCTGAATTTTAAGACAGTAAGGCCCATTTCCTGGAATATCTTTTTGTGTAGCGGAAAGCGACGCAAAAGCCATTGCACTGTTGTAAAGCCTTATTATTATTATTATTATTAGCCTCATGTTTTTTATGAAGTTCGAATCATGTAAAAACAGTTCATTTAGTTCGTCCTTTAATTGTGGTTGTGGCATGTCCATTATGGCAACATGCGTTGAAATGTCCATTTGTGGCCTCCTCTGCGAAGTGAAATGCGCCACAATGCATGCAAGTGCTTTAGGAGGACCTAGATTGTGAGAAGCAACACTCAACTCATTTTCCAGCGTTCTTCTAAAGACAGGTTGTAAAACAGCTTCTGGATTTCTTTCACAGTTAGGCCCTACATGACGTTCTCTTTTGCATTTCTTAAGTCTGTTTAATTCCTGGACACTCTTCCACGTCTTGCATGTCTTTCCCTACCCTGTCTAGTTAGTTCACTCATTATAAAAACGAAAAACAAAAAATTAAACACAATTCATTTTGAAACATTGTTTACCAACATTGACTTTCGGAATCAATGTAAACATTGCAAATAAATAAGTAACAGCTGATAGAATGCAGACGTTTTTCAGTCCCCATGCATTTCTTATGGTGGATATTTTACGTTATATCTTGTTTTCTGGCAACTTTATGGGAATTCTGCTATTTTTCCCGAGTCCCTGGGGTCAAGACCTTTAATTTAAGACCGCTCCCACTTTTCTGCGACTTACCAGACGTCCACAATTTTCTGGTAAAAATTTGGTCTTACAGAATTATATATATAGATTCATGAGTTGGTGATACCAAACGTTATGGTTTGAGTAGGCCTATCATATAAGTAATGTACAATCACACAGGAACCACTCACATTTCTGTCGGGGTCGTTGGCAGCAAGACATCGAGTGAGTAGGGAGGAGAAGGTGCTTTTGCCAACACCTCCCTTGCCAGACAACACTAGCAGCTTGTACCTGACTGAGGCGAGCCGAGCCTTCACCAACTCTGCCCCTTCAACCACCAACATATACACGGTTAGTTAGTTATCATACAAGACTACCATGTATTAATTGGCTAACTGAGTCGGTATTTATAAATAAGATTTTCTCTTAAGGTAAGACTATTTTAAGTTACTCATCATTAATTCATATATTAACCAAACATTTTGTGGAGCATTGGTATTAACTTAGTAGGCTACTGGTAGGGATATAATAAGGCTTCCCCAGATAAAACTATTTTTTTATCATCACCATAACCCACAATCATTTAAACAAGTTAAGTTAATAGGTACCTACTTTAATACTTCAATTTGAAATAATGGTCATACGAAGGTAGGTATTTTAAGCTAAGTATGAATGGAGATGAGTGTAGGACGAGTGGCGCCATCTTGTAGTTTTGTTAGTGACTAAGGCCGACATGTTCCTTAGACAAGGCTGTTAATTAATAGCCCATACAGCCAATGGAAAATAAGGGACCTACAGTTATACATAGTCAGTTAACCATAAGGTAGGTTAGGGTAAGTCTCATTGAGTTCCGACGACGATGTCTCCGTGATTGCTGTTAAATCTCTGGAAGTTGGAACAGATCCCTTCACTAATTAATAAATGCAAATTTATGTTGATGCTTATTTTACCAAGTCACTCTGTACTTTTTTTCATGAGTTATGAGTGAAGTGAAAAGAACTTTTATTTTGATTTTGCAGCCAAACAAGGACTCTTTTATCACGTACAGGTCACTGTGAACCATATGTTATTTTTATTAATTATATGTATTGATGAAAAAATTTAATTCATTCAAAGTACAATGTACAGAGTCAGGTGTAAATAGATGAACATGCTATACTAATAAACTAATAATACTGGTTTTTATACAAAAGTATTTGAGATGTATTGATGATACTGTTTATAGTCAAGCAAACAAGTTGGGTAAATGCCTATATTAAAATAATTAGGGCTAAAATTGGCAGTGAGATGGCAGTAAAATTGGAGTTAAACACCATAGTCCATTTACCATATCATTCTCAATCAAAACTTATTAAGATTTAATCATTACATAGAAGTCCCAAAAAATAAAATATAATATTACCTGGATCAGGCCCTTTAGGAACGCCGGACGAGCAAATTGACTGATTGGGACAACCTTGACAAGCAGATGCCTTTCCAGCTGATTCACTTTGGGTTCCAGGACAGTCTGAAAATTAATTAGAAATTCATTTCCTATTCCTGGAACGTCAAATGTCAATTAGTGTTTGATTTTGCCTCTGAGTTAGCTGGTAAAAAACATGACATAAGATTACCAACATTTTCCAAATTTAAAAATTTATGTAAGTTTATAGCCTAATACAAAATTATTTTCACCAACACACTGAAAATGCGTGTACTTAAAACAATTTTAAAAATAAAAGAAATTTTTATACCTTGTGGGTTAACCCACTAAGTTATTCTAATAGCAAAAAAACAGTATGGATGTAGGGCCTAACATAAATAAACAACACGGTTCCCTTTCCTACAATTTACCTTCCTAATCCAACATTTAACTTCAATTACATGATTACAGTGATTATGTAACTTCATAAGTTACAGCCACGAGTTTGCATAGAGCCCAACCTGCCATCCTCACATGCTTAAATAAAATCAATGCTTAATTAATTGTTGATTTTGGATGAGTTTGCAATTAATTCATAACATTTGCAATCTGGGTACAATTTTGAAGATACCAGATGAGAAATACTTTTGCCCGCCAAATCCCCTCCACGTAGGCCAAGGTCAGGTCGTTGACCAGAGTGCGCGCATCACCTGTCACCTCGCCTGTATCTGGGCCAGTGTCCTGAGTGATGACTTAGGTATCTGGTATCGTTCGATTCACAACATTATTTATGATAACCCAACCTAAAATAACCGCCGCAGCGTGCTGTATACTTACTTGGCGGAGTACATGTGCTCGCCGATATCGCTGTCTTCTGGGAGGCACAACTAAAAGGCCGCTAATTGTAATTATGTCAAATTTGGACATTTAGCCTAATTTAATTAAAGTATTTTCTTATCAATTATGTCAATTAAGTAATTTTTAGTCTCCGTTAAAAAAAAAATCCTTCTAAAATAAGTGGCCTCCGTATTACTAAAATACAAAAGTAGGTAGGCCTACTATTTTTTTTGCTGACACATATTAAGTTCAAGGGTTAAAGTTTAGGCTAGATCAGTTTAGTTTATGATAATTAGGCCTACTACAGTAACAAAATATAATTTACAAAGTAGGCCCTAGCTTACCTTTTTATAGAGTCATAACTTAAAAAAGAGGACCCAGTAACCTAACTTACAAAATTGCCGTCTTTAAGTACGTACAACAAAAAGTGCAAAGTACAAAGTTTAAGTGTTTATCAAATCCCACAACAAAAAGTTAAACTTTTATTTCAATGAATGTAGCTTATTTGTTAAGTAGGCTATTATCATATGGGTACAGTTTCTTAACTGGGCTATGCTAATATCGATTGAAACTATCGAATTGAAAATATTGATTAATAATCGATATTTTTAAATATATTTATTATCAAATTAAACTATCTTAACCTAACCTAACCTTGAACCAAACTTGCTGATGGTGAAAAAATCGCATGAAGGTTTACTAATCGAATCGATAGTTTCAATCGATATTAGCATAGCCCAGTTAAGAAACTGTACCCCTATCATACAGCTACTAAACAAAGTTAACTTAAGTTGCCCAACTGAACTAAACTAAATAGGCCTAAACTAAACTAACCTAGCCACCGCAGAACATTGTAAAAGATTTCTCTTTGGATAGGGTAAGTTATAAGACGCTAACTTATTGCTTATAATGTACATATTCAGATACATAACTTACAATTGATATTATATCTCGTGAAAACAATATCTGATAGGATAGATATGTAGATAAGTTAGTCTAGGTTAGGTTATGACAATTTAATTTTATATTTGATATAACTTAGTTAATAATATTGATTATCCCTCCGAGTGTCCCTTGTTTTGGCCTTAATGTCTGCCTATTTAGTCTAGGATTGGCTAGACCTATGTTAAGTTACGGTATTTAAAATAGGCATAGGGCCTAGGGCCTATCTCTAAAGCTAGCCTAATTTATATACATAGTTAACTGTTTTGATAAGGTTATACATACGTTCAGGAGCATTTGAAGGTTGACTTTCTAATGATGACATAATTGTAAAATATCAAATTAATCTTAATGTTACCCTATAAGTTTAATATAGATTTGGACTAACTGGAATGGCATTGAGGTTAGTTCAGTAGTGTTGTGCAATGTGTAAATAACTGAAACTGAATAATAAGAAAGAGAGGTTAGGGTTAGGATTGTGTGAAATTGTGAGAATAGAGAGAAAGGAGAAGAGAACCTGGAGAACACAAACAAAGAGTAAACAGACCACAGACCAGACAACTGATCGATATCTTTGCGTTATCATTTCTGTTCTGCTTCTCGCTGCTTGGTATTACTCTATGCAGCAGCAGGAAATCAAATCAGCTGTTTATTTTTGGTTTGGGTAAAGTAAAATACTACAGCTGCCTCTAAATAGATAAACCGGCATGTCTGCCAGATTTTAAATTGTTTATTATTCAGTGTTGTTTATTTCAATAATTTTGTGTTTGTAATTATTAAACTCTTTGGTGTGCAATTCCAATACATCCAGTAACAATTTTGCTAAAATATATTACCGTACATTTAAAGAAGCAGTTAGTTTATCTTATTTAAAATTTATATGCTTTAAAATTATTTTTGAATATAAGTTAAGTTATTTGGAAAAATGGCAAAAACAGTCATGTACTCAGTAAGTAAATAAATAGGTAGTTTAGAATGTAAAATAAAACATATCATTGCTAACTAACTCTGTTATTAGTACAAATAATGTATAAACTGTGAGCGAAATTGGAGAATCATTAAGTACTTATACTTTATACTTTTTCATTGAAATGGGACCACCCAAAGTAGGTATTTTAAAACTTCAATGCGATTAGTATCCTGACTAAAAAATATGTAAATTAAAAAGTTGATGATAACTTTTGTCTTTTACCACTGTTTTGAAAGGGGAATGGTAGTCCAAATAGGTACTTGCTTACTTGCATGCTTGATTCCTTCTTCCTTGATCTGAACTAATCAAACATATTTACACACAAAAGAACATTTGTATTTACAGAATACATGTTAGGCCTATGCCTATATTTTTTTAACATTTGGTGGATGTGCCTTTGAGGGAAAAATTATGGAGGGTTGTTTAGTTCCTCCAGAGACTATACAGTAATAGATTAACAAGAGATTTAGTAAGAGATTTACGGTAGACTTAAACTTGGTCATGTCCAACTCCTGCACATCTGATGGGAAGGTGTAAAAAATTTAGATTGATGTGTACTTATGCTATTTAGAGCTTCAGGAGTGCTACAACGTGCAACCTATACATCTCAGAAGAAAGCTGCTCAAAATGCTTTTCCTGTTCAAACTGGTCCATGATGAGATTGATTCTGCCAACCTACTGGAGGGAATTCATTTCCGACAGAGAGAAAAACAATCTTCGGATACCTTCACTCACTTGTACTTACCCAACTAAACTTGGCCTAAACTTACTCTCTCTCCAATTGTGGATTGGCCAGATTGCAGCATTTTGGAAACAAAGTCAGATCGCACGAGTTGACTTCTTTAACAAACAGTTGTCATCATTCAGAAGGAAATCCTCTAACGTTATTCATGCCTGTTTTATAGCTTGAAAAAGCAATTTGTTTCTTTTTGTCCCTAAAATCTCTTTTACTCCTGCCATTCCTATATGGATTTATTGCTGTTACCGTATTGTCTTTTGTAGAACTTATTGATCATATACCGGTAGTTTATTATAGTTAAATCTTGAGGAAATATTTGTTGTTGTTGATTTCAAAATCTATTTTCTGAACTCCAAATAATTATTAAATATTTTAATATTATATTATCTGTACAATATGCTTTATTAATGTTATTATCTGTTATTGTTATAATACGTTGATGTCTTGTTGTTATTTTTTGTTGTGATGCTGTTTTGTTTAATGGTTGTATGTAACTTTTGTTATTTTCAATGCAATTGTTATCTTTTCTTTCTGCTCACGTGCTTAAAACATGGTATTATTTTATAAATGGTGTATCTGTTGATATAAATAAATAAATATATAACTAAATTAACTAGGTAACTTTGACCTAACTTTGTTGCATCGACTATAAACTCTACTTTACTAGGCCTACTGTTAAATGGGTCAGGAGAATACTTTTGAACTAAAAATTAATAAAAACAGTTTTAAACAATATTTTTTAACTCTGAACCAGGTTATTGTGCATATTTATAAAATATGTTTATGTATGCTACACACATATATCGTCTTTGAGGAGGAAGTTTGCTGTTGATTTCTGTTGAATATTTAAACTGATCTTGTGTTAATAATGATTCTGTTGTAGCAACTGCACCCATGGAGTTCTGCGGGGGCGCCACCCTGCATGGACCAGGTGTCGGGGCCATTGGTGCCCCTTCGAGTCAGCAACTACTACAAGACCCCTCGCCCCCACCCTTGGAGACCCACCATGGGCTACGAGAATGTCGAGGTCGTCCCCCTGTAAGTTTTTATTTTTGCCTCCAACAGTTTACAACCATATACTGTCATGATTATTATATTTACTATAATATTGTAGATATTTTAATGGCTGTGGGTTGTGTGCAAGTGTGACTGTATAGCTGAAGTTTTGATCTTAATTACTATTCTACCTAGTAAAGTATGCAATATGATTTATTTTTAGCAGTAAACTGTATGAGTTTTAAAAACTGGACACAGATTCTGTTTTTGATCATTGATTTGGGAATTGTTTAAACAATATTCCCTATGTAAATTTACAACATAATAATTGTTATTAAAATTACAAGATATATTTGACGTGTCTATCCAGGCCATCTCAGCCAGTGACCAATGCACTGGTCGACTCTTCATGTAGCCCAAGTGGGATGGCGACTGAGCCACTGAGATTCCCCAACCTGGTGACTGGGACTGAGCGTAACCCGGCACATGCTGCTCGTGCCGCTCTTTACACTCGGTACACACCTTATGAGTGGACACAGAACTCGCTCAACCACTACAATGAGAGCGACACCAACCGGAACTTCTCAGAGAGGTTGCGCTCAGATGCTGTGCGAGTTATGAGGTGGGTGTAGAAACAAGCAGAGATACTAGAGTGTAAGATAAGTTGAGAGTGAATTTATCTTAATCAAATAACTATGACAGTGATGCACATGTAGGTTGGATGATGACCTGTGTAGCTTCCTTACTGATTAAGACAACTGACCTTAAGCAAGGACCATCAATCTGAGCTCAAAGACATTAAATTAAATGAAGACATGCAGATGTATTTGCATCTCATATCACAGGCTCTCTGTGGTATGATAAGTTTCTTATTTATAAAATTATATTTAAAAAATATATATATTTTAAATTACTTTCGTTTTGACAATAATGCTTTGCGTTGCCAGAAACGAGGGCCGAAACACTCTAACCACATCACTAAGCTAACTTGCAGATGGTTCAAAACTAAATCCAGCTGTCTTTGGATCAAATAAATTATCGATCCAAGTCAGTAACACAGTAACAAAGGAACACAGCTCATATTATGCCATTCTACACTTAACCTTTATTCATATAGGGTTAAAATACACCTAGTTCACATTTGCGTCTCTGTTTTGATTTTGGTAATAGTTAGTTTTTTTAGTCACAAGTAATGTTCCTTATTATACCTATTTTTAAAAACTTCATAAGTTTGTTTTTTATATATTCTATATCAAAATAATGTGTTGAGTTGAATGGTATGCCGGTAAGCCTTTTTGTCTTCATATATGAGTGAAAATTTAAAAACATACGTTTTCAGGAAAAGCACTTTGCAAATTTTTCCCCCTTTTTTCAAAACTTTTATTATTTTATTTATTTCATTAACATTTGAAGTTTAATAAGATGTCCATGGTAACACAATATCTTTGGTAGTTTTTTTTTTAAAGAGCATCTTTAGTGGAAAAACACAAAATCCTGTCACGACCATAAAGGACGTTTAAATGAATATTAAAAATGGTTAATATTATTTTTATAACTATGTTTTGCTATAAACTAATTTACTTTTATGACTATTATACAATAAAAAGGTCGCTGAGCTTTTGGTATATTTAGTCTTTCTAGAAAAAAATAAAAAACTCAAAAAATTGAAAATAAGCCAATAAAATCTTTTTAAGTTTGTGTAACGCCAAAAAAAACTTACCTGAGACCGGAAAAATCGTTATGTTTGTATAGAGGTGTGCATCTTTTGTGTATAAAACATTGAAATATGACAATATTTTAATTTTTGAAATTTTTATGATAGAAATCATAAACGTGATGGTCAGGGACAAGCGGTACGGTCGTGAATTGTCTGGAGTAATCTAAATCTTTCTAAACAATCCTTCAATTATACTGTTAGTTATAATAAAAATATGTGTTTCAATTGAACTAAACTGTTCAATTTATAATTATATTAAAGTTATTGTCACGACCAAACACACTATAATCCATAAGGCTGGATTGGTCGTGAAAAAACCCGCGATGGTCGTGAAACTTTGGTCGTGAAATTATGTGTTATTTGGCTCTGTTCTGGCGGTAGCCCTGCACCTCATGTTCGAGGATACAAAGTGGACTTCTATGTTAATCTAGCAATTGAAATATCTAATAAACGAAAATTAAGACCATGTCTACTTCATCGAATTACTACGTACGGTCATGGACACACCAAAATTAAAAAAAACACAATCTTTCCTCTACTAATCTTGTAATTCCTCCATTCAACTCGAAACGACCGGCACTACAATCCTGACGTACACCCCTAACTACGGTAGTCTCTAAAACCAACTGACTCCATCGACGCCAGGCTTGCCACTGTCGTGCTCCAAAGTTGAAAATTTTTCCCAAATGGTCGTGACGCCAAATCGAGGGACAGACTTATTTTGTCATGGTAGTCAGTTTGCAATGACAATAAAATTATAATATGCTCCTTTTATGTAAATTTAATAACCATTGATGACATAAAAATATGGCTTTATATATTTCGGCATGAATAATTAGTCTAAAAACAGCGTGAAAGTTGGAAAATGTACCCTAGGGACACGTCATGGTCGTGAATTTCGAGACTTTAAAAATACAAAAAAAAATACCTAGAACCTATTTAAAACCAAATGAATGTATGTAACATGTTGCCCCCGTCCCAAAAAATATTAAAACACATAATAATAAACTACAAATCCAGTATCTACGTAGTATAAGGCCAGGGAAATGAAAACGTACGTTTCTAAATTTTCACTCATATAAAGTGTTTGTAACAATCATTCACCTCACCATGATAGACAACACACTTATATACTTAAATACTTTCTTATGAAATGGCGACTATACAAAATGTAGGTATTTTAAGCCAAGTATGAATGGAGATGAGAGTAGGATGAGTGGTGCGATCTTGTAGTCTTGTTAGTGACTAAGGCCGACATGTTACTGATGAACCTCTGTAATGGAAGAGCACAGTGTGAATGGACTGAAGCTGTGGTCTTTCTTTTTGTTAAAACGTTCACAAATGTTCAATTAGGCCTAAATTGTAAAATATAAACCTTTAAGTGTTTTCTGTTAGAGAGACAGATGAGAAGACACAGGTGGGCCAGAGAGACGCTGGTCGACGGCTGGGTGAGCGCATCACAGACATCACGTTCTGGCGTAACGAGCTGGCCACGGAGTTGGAGCGGATGATTGCGGAGAGCAACTTGCTTCAAGACACACGGCGAGCCCTGGAGAAGGCTCGCCAGGACTGTGAACCACCGCTGCATATTGCTCAGGAGTGTCTGTACCATCGGGAGAATCGGCACGGTACACTATATTTGTTTATATTATATATAAGAAATCAACAATAAATATAACCCTGTAGATGAAAATTTTGCGTATTCTAAATATTTAAAGTATCAGTTTGTTTCACTAACAGCCGCATTTTTTTTGTACTGGTGCATGTTTCAAGCTAAATATAAATAAAAGTTTCAAAACACTTGTTTCACTTTGCTGATCTGAGCTTTCGCTGATCTTGTTCATGACTTACCAGATCTGTCGGGACTCCCGTACACCACTAGTTTTAAAATTTGGCCAAATGCTTGTCTTGGTGATGTCTCTTCTCAACTTTGGATATAAGGGAGTATCTTTTTTGACTTGGTATTATACTTCAAATAAACTAAATGATTTTGAACCCGTAGTCTCTTAAACACAAAAAAGGATCATTTACAGGACAAGAGGCATTGTTGATCTTGTTTATGATCCAGAGGCCTGAAATTTTGAATAGAAATTCAGTGGTGTGATGAAGTGGCGAGTTGTTAAGCTTATCACAATAATTGTTAAGTTGTCACTGAATAAGATCAGCTGTTTGCCACCAGGACTATTTATTGTTCAATGATATGACTGTATTATGTTCAATGAACAAGAACAGCTGGGCCAAATTTAAACCATTTTGATTCAAATCTGACTTCTGAGGATCAAAACCAGCAACCTAAGAGAGCGCTGTACTCATTTTTAATGTGCTAAACTGTTAAAAGCATTATTACCTCTTAAAAACCATGCACTTCAAAGTATGATTGCCATGTCTTTGATATTTTAGGTATTGACCTGGTCCATGATCAAGCAGAGCAAGCAATACTAAAAGAGGTTGAAAATCTACGGAAATGTGAAGAGAGACTTTCTCTCTTGCATTCAAAAGTTGTAGAACAGGTAGGAATGTTTTACAAAATGAATGTGACACTTAATTATTCTGTATAGAAAATTAATTTAACTATAGTAAAATTGTTTGATTTTTTGTTAATTTAACTAAGTTTTTAACTTTTAGTTTTTTATTGTCTTATTGTTTGTATAAATTATTGACAATGTTTTGTAAAAGATAAAATTATAGCTTGGTTATGTAGCTCACAGTTTTCCACAACTAAACAAAAAGAGATAAACAAATATACTCCATTCCAAATGCTCTTTTTCTGTTTGAAATTATTCCTAGTTATTTACTTTATTTTAGTGCATTAATGCTAATGACCTAATGGCATAGCCACATATATATGAGGATATGATGACTTTGAGGCATTTTCCTAATTAACTTAAGTAAACAGTTCATGAATTGTATTTTTTATTTTTTATAATTCCTAGAATGTGCATGGACAAATTTTTGTTAAGTTATTTCATCCAAAAACAGCAAAATACCCATAGTACCTATTTTATTTCGACAGTTGAGACAGAACCGAGCAAGTCAGCATGAGTTGGAGACAGACGTAAAAAGCAAAGAGTCTGCAATCGGCATCGACTCAATGTGCCATCAACTCAACAACTACTCCAGAGGCATCAACTACTACGGAGGCATCGAGAAATACGACCCAACGTGAGTTTCTGAACATATTCTATGCATCAATCACAGCACATTTCATGCTTTACAATGTGATTAGTTTTTTCACTGTTATTTAGCTCCCAAGTTCAAATAATCTGTTCAGGTATGAACCCATTATGCCTCCATATAAATATTTGATTAATTTCATTCAAAAGTAGGCCTATCCATTATACGCAAAATTTTAATGATGTAGGCCTACAACGTGCTCGATTTGTAAAAAGTTAGGTGCCAAAACTGTAAACTATTTAACCCTTTGAGTGCCACACAACGATATATCGTTTTGCACAACACATCTGAAAAATACTTCACAACGATATATCGTCGTCGGTAGTCTTACCGAAAAATACATTGCAATGATATATCGGGCCGGTGCGACTTTTGATCATGTGAGTTTTAATGGGCATATCGGTTGTTATTATAAAACAACGATGATTTCAATAGATTTCTCTGATATATCGTTCCATAGCACTTTTGGGATGAAAACTTATACTTTTGCCGATTTTTATTCTTGCGCACTACGCTTCACTCCCACGGAAAGCCTGGCACCTTTCAGACATACCTAGTAAAAAAACTCTGGCACTTTTCGGAAAGTACCAAAATAAATTTCTGGCATCCAAAGGGTTTTAATGTGATAACTGCTCTAATTCGCATAAATATTGAAATATCAGACAATGATGAATTAAATATATATAAAAATTGGTAATCCCCATATGTTAAACATTTTCCACCAATTGACAAAGAAAAAAACATTTTAAACATCTATTACAGTATTTGGTTTAAGGCTTTGGAGTTTTTATGGAAAGGGATGGAGTTCAGCTATAGCTTTACTTTAAAAAAAATATTATTTTGTTAATAATATTGTTTAGTAATGTCTATAATCTACTCTCATAAAGTCTCATGTTAGGACAAAATTTAAACTTTTTGTGTACCTGTACTTACAATAATTTTTTGTAACGAGCTCTGATACTCGCATATAAATTGACTGCTGAACTCTTTTTGTTACAAAGAATTATTGTAAGTAGTGTTTTAGAATTTGGTTAACGAACTATGATACTCGCATATAAATTTACTACACTCTTTTCGTTAAAAAAGTTCCAATTGCCACTAGGTTTTCCTTAAACATTTTTATGGGTTTCACCACATTGACCTCAATTGTATTGTTGTTATTTGTAAAACTGACAAACATAATACTACAGTGTGAATGTGCCGGAGACATGGTCCGAACACTCTAACCGTATCATCCAGAGATCCCAAGGAGAGCGTGCAAAGTCGGCACAGCTGCGCACAGACGCAGACAACCTGATCAATGAGTGTGCAAACAACATCTGGAACAGCTGGAATACAACTAACAGTGCACTCTCACGACGCGCCACCGAGACACTTGAGGCCAAGAACAAGCTGCAGATGCATCTACACAAGGTACCACTGCTGCTTGTGCTTGCAAGTATATATTTGTTGTTGTTCTTTATTATGGCCTCCCTTCACATCCTAGGATGCTAGGCTCTTAGCCTGGAACTGTTTCACACATTACCTTAGGCTAAGCCCAGAGGGCTGGATTATCTCATGGCCAAAGCCATTGATTTGCCGAATTTTAACTCAGGACTTTAGCGAACTAGGTGAGTAAGAGTCTCAGTCAGTAGCGCCAAGGCAGCGATGTGGTGGGTATGGAACCTGGTACCTGCCACTACTTTTTATCTGACACAGTTCTCTGGGCTCTATAGGTTTCTGGGTCTAGTACAATACTGCTCTTAGTCCATATTTAAATAAACCATATTGTATAGAAAATAAAGTCTTAATTTAAAGAGTATGTCCTTATCTTGTTATCAGGTAGTTTCTTACCTGAGGACAGGATACAAATTCCAGATCCTAAAACGTTTTGAAAAACTTGTTTTTTACCTATCATGAAGGGAAATGTGTTCAATTATCTCTTAAATAACAAAATAGTATGTGCGATGTATGAGCGATGACATAGTTTTGCAATGAGGGTCAAGTTTCAGGGTTTGAAACTAAGCTAAGCTAATTTTTGCTTGTATTAATTTTATGTGTCATTGCAGGTACAACAGGAAATCTTTGACGTAGAGAAGAGTATAGAGCTGATACGCAAGGCTATCATGGACAAGAGTAACCCTCTGAAAGTAGCTCAGACGAGACTAGAGGCTCGGGCTCACCGGCGCGACGTGGAACTGTGTAGGGATGGCGCACACACAAGGTAAGCTTCCTTCTATTGATTTGATACTTTGCATTTTACTTAGGTCTTGAATCCTATTTTCTTGTGGAGTATGTGTTTCTTTCAGACCATCATCAGCTCCCCATCTCACTAGATACGTACATACCACTCTACATGAAAACAAGATTGAAGTTTTTCGAGTAATTGGTTTGGTGATAAGCCTACAGATGCATGTATAGTTGGAGACATTTTCTGCTACAAAAGTCGCATGTATTCTCTGGAAACTCCTCTATCAAAAGATATTTCTCTTGTTGCTGTTAAAGTTCTTAATTAATTATTTTGGAAAGACTTATCGAGTGGAGGAAATACAAAGGGAGAGCTGATATTAGTAAGTGAACGCCACTAATATGACGAAGTGAACCACTTCCACGATGTAGGAAGTGGTGAAGGAAGTAGTCAAGGCGAGCAGTCCGGAATGTGGGAACCCTTTGTGACAGTTAGATTTATGTATCTGCAATAATAAAATGCTAAGGTCCATGACGTAGGAAGTGGTGAAGGAAGTGGTCGAGGCGAGCAGTTCGGAGTGTGGGAACCTTTTGTGACAGTTAGATTAATGTAACTGCAATTCTAAAATGCGATGGGAAGGGAGGGAAAAACAGGTCCACGAAAAAGGAACTGGCGAAGGAAGTAGTCAAGGCGAGGAGTCCGGAGTGTGGGAACCCTCTGTGGCAGTTAGATGAATGTATCTGCAGTACTAAAATGCTATGGGAAGGGAGAGAAACAGGTCCACATTGTGTTCACCAGTGACACCGGTAAGTAGGCTAGGTGCGGGTGGACTCTTCCATTGTTGCGTTCATAGTTTTGCAATGAGGGTCCATTTTTTTAAACCAGTAATCTTCTGATTCTTAGGAAAGCACTATAACCATCAGCTACTCAGCCCCCCCCCCCCCCCCCCCCGCTTCAACACAAAAACTAAGCAAATTTTTGCTTGTATTAATTTCAATCGATTTTTTTGCAATCACTTTATTTACCCTTTAAATTGGTCAATCAAAAAACGAGCATACTTTTGAGGGAATCCTAATTTTAAGGAAAGCTAAATGGGTGAAAAATAATGTTTATAAAGTAGTAAGAGTTTAACTAATAGCTTATCTGAGAATATTAAGAGTTTAAGGCCTAAGATATCCATAGGTCACAAAGTATAACACTGTTATTTCGTCATAATATAGGACTTCTTCAGAGATTAGATTGAGAAAATCCTTTAGTATCATTTTTTAAATAACTTCTTGATCAGCATTCTAAGTATTATTCAATTTACGGAAAAACGTCTTATAACACCTAAAACATATATTTACGCTTATACTGTTACTCACAAGACAGTAAATATACAACAAAAAATTCAAAACCGATGATTTTCACCTATTGGGTCTGATGATGATTGGAGTGTCCAATCGAAATCGATCACCACTTACCATCTTTTTTGTATATTTACCGTCTTGTGAGTAACAGTATAAACATAAATATATGTTTTAGGTGTTATAAGACGTTTCTTTTATTTACATCCGTATACTTTTTTACATGAAAATTTTACCATTGTTTGACAGGCTAGTGCAGGAGGTACAGGAGCTAGGGGACAGTGTGGAGTTTCTCCACCGCAAGCTACAAGAGGCTGAAGCCCAACATCAGCAGTTGCTAAGGACTCGTAGTAACCTGGAGCAGGACCTCCACATCAAGGTCAACTCTCTGTTTATCGACCGAGAGAAGTGCCTCGGCATGCGACGCAGCTTCCCCATCTCTGCCACCATCAAGTACTGAACTGAGACGTGCGGATGTTAAAATTGTCTGTAAATATGTTAGCTACAGTAAATAAATATGTTTATGGTTTTACCATCACCAAAAACAGTACCGTTTATATATTGTTATCTATCTTGGACAACGAACTAGACATTCAATTCCCTCTGAGTAGTAAACAATAGAGGCAAGTGTTGTAGCCAGTTTTAGAATAAATTAACACAAGTGAACTGAGCCATTGACAGATCTGTACAGCCATAGACAGGCTTGTATAAAACAAGTTGTATACAGAGCCCATACGAAAGACAACTTAGGGGTCGGTAACACACCAGACAAGAAGTCCATGACAGAGAGAGTTTGCATATTTGTATCCGCCATTAAATTGAATCAATACAGTTCACTCCTGTACTAACAGGCTCACCCCTTGCTTTGCTGGAAATTTTTGAGAGAAAGGCCTATCTGCAAGGAGGCTGCCAACCTTTAAAAAAACTTATAGCATCTAGTATGGCACATCAACTTAAAATTAAGAGAGAAAATGGACCGTACGCTGTTACACACTCTGAAAGTGGCTCGTTCAATTCTTATTTTTATTTTTGTTATAACAAATTGGCTACTGTTGGTCCATGTAGATAGGAGTCTACTTCAGGATCCGAATGATAAAGCTGTTATACAACTTTAGTTACCATTCACCATTTATTTTATTTCACATTCAGACATTTTAGATCTTGTGCCACATGTATGGAGATAGTATGCATCTCCTGTTGATTATTCCTATGGAAAAAAATATTTCTTAAATGTGCTGCATTTGTAAAAGTTGTTTTATTCTATGCTGTATAAAATACAGGCTTTTAATTTGAGAGGTTAACATGTTATTCACGCCAAAACCGTTTTTGTGAAAGCTAAGTTTATTCTTCCGTTTTATTTTGTAAAACGGATAAAAATGTACTAGCGTCGGCAATTTATTTCTTTGTATACAAAATGTAAATAATATATTAGTTTTAACTAATATTTACCAAAAATCATAAACCATCCCACTTGTAGAGTAGCTGGTTTAAGCCTTTACATAAATAAAGTAGACAGTTAAGTTACCCAAACTAATTGGAACAGAAGTGGTTTTTGGATTATCAAATTAATTGATTTTCATTTAAAAGGCCAAGGTTTTAGTAGGTACAGCAAACGAACGTCACCAACTTAATTGAAAATAAATCACTACCACTTACTTAACTAGTTATTTTTAACGACTTTTTTCACTTAACACAGAAATTCTAGTAGCCTACCATTACCTAAATATTAGTGATGGGACAATCCCAAGATTGCTTGATTCCGATTCCTAAACTAAAATTTTTCTTCCATTCTAAATCCTTATTTGAAACCAAATTAAGTTAAATAAACAAGTGGTATTAATAGATGGAGAAGGAAAATTTATGATATTAGTTAAATTAAATAATATAAATAAACCTATCTTTTAAATTAGGTACAAACTTTAATGAGTTTTTTAGTAGGGTAAATTGAGATAAAAATAGCTACTTCCCTAAAGGTGAATTCGCTAATAAAAAAATTAGTTCCTTTTTTGTTTGTGTGATTGGAATATTGACATATTATTGAGATGTGAATCTAGCTTATCCATGCTCAAAGAAGATGTATGCAATGTTTGTGCAATCAAAATTTCACAGTATCATGGTGATCACAAAAGATGTTTTTGATGTTACTGTAAACTCCAGATTTTTTGGAACTAACGATTCTTTTGATACCACTGAAACTGAAGTCAACATTATGTGTACAAAAATTCCAATATGAAGTACAAGTTGCATAATATGATATTGAAATTATAACAAGTTACAACAAAGGTAACATTATACATCTTTTTTAGCGAATTTCCCTATAGGGAAGTAGCTATTACCGTAGGTGGCACGGTAAGACCTAGACCCGGGACCGATTTACTTTTTCATTTTGATGTCCCCAGAGGCCAAAAACACCATTCGTTCAAATTCTTATATATATATATATATACGTCCGTGAACGCGATAACTTGAATAATTTTTGTCCGATTTTAATGAAATTTGGTTTAAAGGTGTAAAGCGGGATAAACTTGAATGAGTTCGCGAACCAGCACGATCGGACCATGAGAACGGGGCTTTACGGGGGGTTTTATGGGGTAAAAATTGGTTTTTCTCACTTTTGACCCTCAAAACACAAAATTTCCCGATTTCTCTTTAGACCTTTTTAAAGAGCTTAAAAAAACAAATAATTAAGTATATAAAAGTATTTTTGTTCGATTATTGGTAACGGAGAAAATTAAAGAAATTGTAAATTTAAAATTCCCATGTTATTCTTATGGAGAATATTGTCAAATGTTGTAGTTTGCTTGTTTATGGATATATTTTGATCAAACTTGGCAAATTTATTTATTTTGTACTAAGCTATCAATATTTTACTCAAAAACACACTTTATTAGTTTCCTTGTAGCAGCAAACCTAGGTACTCGTTAAACCTAATGTTATTAAAATATATATTTAACTGAAAATCAATTCAGACAAATGGAAATTCGCTTAGTCGGCAGGTTTGCTGCGGCGGGGGTATTTTTCATTTATTAGCATCTCCTCACTATGATAATGCTGTAAATATTTTTTTGAATCATAGGTAGAGAATTCCTTTATCATGTAGCTACAATCATCCTGTGAGGATTCACACACCTAACGTGCTCATTATCACTGCCAAGATACTTTATTGACCAAAAGAAAAATTAGTAACTTAGTCTTACTGTTAAAACTTATTGTAATGTTGTAGTTACGTAGTTACCTAGTTCTACCAAATATTATAGAAAGTTTACTTCAAATATTTCAGTTTGAACATTATAAACATTATAAATGTTATATTTAGAAAGAATAAATAAACGTTTAGTAAAACCTTACTAGGTGGTTTTAATTTCTCCCTCGGGTGACTTAAAGCCTTATTGCACGAGGTAGCCTGGGGACGTCACCAGTGACAGTAGCCAAACCGATTAGCCAGTTCAGTAGCCAGAATTTTTCTAGTTGTATAGCCAGTGGTGACCGTTTTGGCGACGGGACTCGGTAGCCAGTCAGTCACCAAAGTGTGGCTACGTCGCTGGCGACCTTCGTGTAATAACGGACAAGCCTTTTTTAAGGCTTATGCAGTTTTGTATTAAAAATTCATTGTATATGTGCTGTACCAAGTAACAAATAAAATAAATAAATGTTATTACTTACATCCATAAAGGATCAATGCCCCATGACAGACTGAGTAGCCAGTTCTGTAGCTGGCGACGTCGCCAGGCTACCTCGTGTAATAAGGGCCTGCGGAAAACCAACAGTGATATGTTGTAGATACTTTGTACACTACAATAAATAGCAAAACCTATATCCACCTCTTGGAATATTTACATAAAAAAAAAATTCACTGATGCATCATACAAGATTGAAAAATAATCCAGTTTATCTATCAATAGGTTTATTTAAAATTTGTGGACATTTACAAAATAGTTGTATACATAGTGGGCTCTTGGAGAAGTAAAACAAGATTTTTAATTTAAATACTGTTAACCGTCATGTTAACATGTTCACTACCGAGCAACGCACATTTGCGTCGGTCCGGTCACTCCTACAGACCAAAAGGAATGATCATGACGTTGCTTACAGACCAAGTGATATAGGAATAACATTGCCGATAGACCAAAAGAGAAATATTGTTTAATTGGACTAATTGACTTCATATTAACCTTAAGTGAATTAGTAAGCAATAAATATTGTTTTTATTTATTGTTTTCAGAAAATTTTAAAACGCCGCATATATGCGTTGGTCAGTCTAGTTGATGAAATCCAGTTAAAAAGATTATATTTTCGTTTCAATAGACCAGGCGATGCACGTAAGCGTCGTTGTAAATTTGGTTGTTTCAAGCTTTTATACAAACAAATAAAGAAACTCCACTAAACACTAGCCAAAACTGAAAAGGTTATAACGTTTACATCTGTTCTGTGATGTCGCGGAATACACAATGTAAACAACAATGTTGCCAACTGTTGTGTGACGTAACCAATTCTCATATCCACAGACCAAGCGACGCACATTTGCGGCAGATATCCCTCTAGACTGATGCGATAAAATCAGGGCTTTAAAATAGACCGTTGCTAAGAAATACCCTGATTAATAACATTGAACACCGACGCAACTGTGCGTCGTTAGTCTATTTCAATGTGACCAGCTGACGCAAATATGCGTCGGTGGTCTATTGTGAGAAACGAGTCGACGCACAATTGCGTCGCTGGTCTGTGCGAACGTAAATTCCATATAATTGTGGTAGCGAACGTGTTAAGACATATGGTATGGTGAGAAACTGCCAGTTAATTTGGACAAGATTCAACATTTCCTGCAAACTTAATATTAGATGTAAATTAAAACATTAGTTTAGTATAGTATGTAATAAAAACAACATTTATAAAATACTAAAAAAGTGTATTAACAGTATAGATTATAACTAAAATGGTTTAAACTTTCTTGTTTGCTTGAGTAAGGCTATTTTCTTCTTGTCTTCTTCAAACTTTTGCCTTAAGCCCATGAGATCTGTAAAACAAAATCCAACATAAATGTCTCATAATTATAGATCATATCAAGTTTTTAATTTGATCACAACACTGAAAAATTAAAATACATAGTGGATGGATTTGCAAATATTGATAAATTAGTTGCTAAAGAAGACCGTACAACAATTGTATCATGGAGTTTTAATTTCTATGCTCTAAAAATATACAGTTTAAATTTTCCAAATCAACTCTCTTCGAAGAATTTTCATACAGTTTACTCTAGTGGCTGAACACAACGATTTTTTATGTTTTAATAAGTACTAGGTGAAACCTGCCGAAATCGACGTTTACTTTCAAGGCTTACACTAATTCATCTAACTGCGATAAATAGAGTGAAATTATCAACAGTTTGAACATTTAAGTTTGTTTAATGAGTTTTAAGTAATTGAAAAAACAATAATGACTATTGCGTATGTTACAAGATATCGTTGATTATGCAATGTATAAAATGATCCGAGTAAGTCATCGGAGTTATGTATACCGTGTTAACTGATTTCATCTTCTTTTTTAAGAACCCCAGGAATTTGAGGCAGAGCCCCAAAGGAATTTACCTCGTTTCTCCTTTGATGGCTCATCTACAGACCAAGACCTTTCTTTAGACACCTCTACCGAGTTTCTACGCCCAGCCGTTCTCTCAAATTAGTGGAGACAAAGAAAAACAGTTTCAAATTATGTTATTATTATAGATACACAGGAGTTTCATAGGATAAATTATTGGTTAGAAAGAAGAAAGTTAAAACATTCTACTCACGGTTCATTTTTGACTCCTTAATCTGGAATCTGTAGAAGTTGAGGAGTTGTTTCTTGGACCTTTTCTTCTGTTCTTTATCCATTATCCTGTTTGCTACACTCTCTTTCCTTGCAAATCCGGGGTTTCTTCCACTGACAATATAATAGTTTATATTAATATAATCATATCTTACTAATATTATAAATGTGAAAGTTTGTGTGTTTGTTTGAAGTTCAATCACGTATTAAATACCGTACTGGTCGGATTGGGCTGAAATTTGGTATGATGATAGCTCCCATTTCCGATTAACATATAGACATATTCTTATCTAAAAATCCTTTCGGGCTCTGCCCCAGTGGCTCTGAAGTTTCAATGTTAACCTCATGAGTATCTATATTTTAATAGGCAAGCATGTTTCTTTAAAACCTTTGTTCTCAACTCGTGATCATCGCAGGGAAAATCTACGCATACTGTCAGAAAGATATTTTCCTGTAGATGTGCAGAAGCCCTTTAAAAGCTTCTTCTTTATAAGCTTAATAAGCTCAAAAACTAAGCACAAAAAATGAATTTTAAATTTGAAAAAAAAATTACACCTGGGCCTAATGGGTTGCCATGCTGGTAACGAAATAACAATGAAATTTAAACAGAAAATCAAAATAAATAAAAAAAATCTAATCACATCACATGGTTTATTTACAGTGTGGGGTGAAAATAGAGTCTGTACATTACATATTTTTGGTTGAGTTTTCGACCACTGGACGACTTCTAGTACATATTTAAAAGGAATTAAAGAATTTAGTCAGCTACTTGAACTGCTCAAGTTTGTTCTATGATATTCAATGGCATTATAAAGTTATACAGTTTTGAGTTTACCAACAGGGAGCAGCACTATTATTTTTTTAATTTATGATAACAGCTAATTTGAACCGAGCAGCAACAAAAAGCTTTGATAGGCCTACACAATGAGAACTTTACCTTTTTCTATTGTTTAGGTGCAGTGGTAGAACATTATAGCTATGGTAGATGTGCTATACTATAGTATACTGTAAATTAGAAGAACCAAATTTTCATAAACCGTGTCCTCTCCTATTGCAAACGCAAAGCACGAGTATAACTGCAATAATAATTTTATACTTATACACCAACCCTGTACAAAGGACGGGTACTCTGCTAGTATTAATATAACAATACAGTCGAGTCCCGCAAACTCGGCTCTCGATAACCCGGCAGTCTGGATAACTCGGCCATCACCTGGCTCAGAAAATTAGTGATGTTTTGAGTCCGAATTAAACCTGGACTCAAGCCAGATCAAGTCAAATCATTTGCAGCTCGTACCAAGGATATGTTGTGCTATATCTGATGACTTAATACTAACTTGTAACATAAATATTAATAAAAGAGGCAGTTAAAAAGCTTAAAAATTGTATTGTTCTTATTTTTAACCCTAGTTCCCGAAAACCCGGCATTTCACAAACTCGGCACCCTTCCAGTCCACATTACGCCGAGATTGCGGGACTCTACTGTACAGCTTTAATTAAGTTGTACTTTAAATAACAAATAGAAGCCTATTTAGTAACAACAATTGAAATCTTGCATTAAGAAGGCACCAATGCTAAATGTGTAAGTGTGCCAACAAGTCCAACACTTAGTTCTAGCACTGTTTTAGTTTTACACCTCAACTTGATTAAACATGTGGAAATAAGGCTACATCACATTGTATTATGAAATCTACTAATTTTCTCTGCTTTTGCATCTCCTTCTGCTCACTGTTAAAGGTAATTTTTAACTAGAAAGAAGAAGTTTTGTAAAAATCTTGCATAGTAGGTTGTTTTTACAAAAATGTCAGGCTAAATTTTACGAGATTATCAAACTTAATGTATCTACTTAAAGATCTGTGTTTGACCCAGGTGTTAATATTGTAAGGGAATTGCAAACAGGCATTTGCAATACATACAGACTTATCAGCTATGCCAATTCGTGCAGTTGGCTCAAATGGGATGATAAACAAAATAAAAACTAAGACTAAATATATACTAAACTAACTAAACATAGAAAATGTTTTACAAATATTCTGTAGAGCAAACATATACTGAGGCAAACAAGTGCATTAGCACATGCATTAGGAGATCACATGTAAAAAAACCAACATATTTGACAAATCATTTTTAAAAGCATTTATGGACATTATAGAAACCACATTTGCGAGTTTAGTAATGAAATATGCCAATGGTTTCACTTAGGATAACCCCCACACCTGTAGAAAGTCAATAAGTGTGATTGAAATGTTTTGATGAATTTACCGTTTAGTGACTGTGACCCAGCCGTCTTCATCCTCAGTCTGTTTTTCTGATTCTAGTCTTTCTGCCTCGGCTTGGTCAAATGTTGCCATGTAACTGTCCACCTCAGTCTGCAAAGCCGACGCATCCACTACTCTACTGTTGTATTCGGCTGCCCACTCTAAGCATACAAAACTTTACATCAACTGTCTGATGTTATAGGCTTAGTGCTTGCATATAATTATGAAGGTTGCATTCCAAGCGTGATTGATTCTGGTTGTCATTTTTTGTCATTGGGCTGAAAGTTAAAGATAATACAAAAATCCACTTAAGATAGTAACAAGTCCAGGGTCTTGACTGTTTCCTAATGACCACAAAATTGAGGATGATGTAGATGAATACAGAATAAAAACAAGTAAACAATCTTGATAGCTAGTGAGTAGGTATTGTATGAACCATCTTCATAAGCCAAATACCACTCGATACTTCCTTGATCACTATTTTTAAAGTAAATTACATTTTTTTGGCAAAGATGGCTTTAGGCCAAGGTTTTAATGATTTTGTAATGAATAGTTTAAACAGCAGGCTTACCTTACTAATGAAAATGTAAAAATAAACACATACATAACGTTTCTGAACTACCAGCACCTTCTTCAGAAGTAGAGTCTTTGTTCTTGTACTCGTATGTAAAGTGTTTTGATTGTGGAGGGAGAAAGATAAATTTACCGGTACTGTCCAGTGTCCAGTCTATGGTTTTTGGTCACCATCACCAAGTCTTACACAATTAAATTATACTATAAAAACATATTCTATATTTACAAAAGGTGTTGGGGTAGAATTATTATGTGAGGTTTAGGTTGGGTGGTTCTCTGGATTTTGATATTTAGAGGTGGCAAAGTTCCTATCTTCTCAATTCTGAGGGGTTGCTAAATGGGGGAAGGGCTTAGTGACTTAAGTAGTGAAACTGCTGTTGAAATATTTGTTGTTCTGAATTAATTTTCACATTTGTATCCACTCGTCCTAGTATGTAGGCTGCTGGAAGTTAGCCCTTCATAATGAGCAGGGCACAGTTTACTTTGTAAGTGGTGAATCACAATTACAGTACTACATGATTGATTTTTTTTAGTTTTGGTTAGTAACTGAGCTGATGAATGTGGTGGAAATAATATGAATTTAAAATATTTGATATTTATTGTTTTTACAGGGGTTAGAACCATTACAAGGTTTGGAGGGTTTTTTGACTGTTTGGGAATCTGGAATTTTTCCATTCATAATTGGCTTAAAATACCATTGGCTTGTATATAATTGGCTTGTATGATCGCCATTTCAATAAAGAGTATTAAAGTATTTGTATTAAGACTTTGGTTGGTCACGATTTTAGTAGACCAATTGTGTGGGCGGAGGTTTGAAGAATTTTGAAACCATGGACTATTTATTGGTCGTGGTGGTGTTTGGTTAGGACCTCTTTGACTTCTGGATTAGATTTACGTCGGTTGAAGATCCGAGGGTATTCTGATTTTATCTTATTGATGTACAGAAAGTCAAGAAATTTCTTCTATAGGAACAAGATGGAATGATATAATTAATTATGTACAGAACAAGATGTGATAGGATATCTATTGGAATATACTATTCCAAAATATGTCAACCAACACTCTTAACTGAAAACATTTACATAAATATATAAAATAAATGAATGATAATCGGCTACAATCGCAATTGTATTTGACCAATCATAACAGTCATCATCACTCATCAGCCCCGATCTTTTCATCCAATTAATAAAAAAACACCATACTTAGAGTCGGGACCACGTAAGTTTGCAGTTAGTGCCCAAGACAAGGCTAGTGCAACGTTGCCACATCGCACTAATAAAATATACTAAGCAATATTTTCAAATCAGCTGGTATTATTAGATTTGGCAACACCACACGGTTCTCATTGGTTCATTCAAACCCATATGGTAAATAGGCTCCTCCCTCAACTGCAAACTTATGTGGTCCCGACTCTAGTTAAGTTGCTGGCTAAATTACTGAGGTAAAATTACCAGTTCTGATTAATTCTCATAGCCTATAGTTTTTTCTATACTCATCATCACTCATCAGCCCCGATCTTTTCATCCAATTAATAAAAAAAACACCATACTTAGTTAAGTTGCTGGCTAAATTACTGAGGTAAAATTACCAGTTTTGACTAATTCTCATATAGTTTTTTTTGTACTTTTGCAAACAAATTATATATTTCTGGGGAATTATTTGTATGTGTTTATTAGAAAAATAACAATTATATTTGAACCTTATAGTTGGAAAAGTGTACTTTTCTTCCTAAATTAAGGGTTTAATATTTTGACAAAAACCATTGTCCAAAGTAATAGCTCACTTTTTATCTTTTCAAAATGTTTGCCTCCAAAACATCAGTTTTTTTAAGGACCATAATAACTTAAAGATGTAGTTTTGACATGTTTTCTGTAGGTTTGGGACTACAATTGACAGCCCTACTTTAGCTAATAAAACAATACGCTAAGTACTCTTGACCCATAATAAAAATGCCTTGAGGGTTAACAGATTTCGATTTGGTAATAATAACTAGGTACTGTACATAAAGACTTACTCCTCAGTCCGGTGACTAAAGGGTGGGACTGTGTAGACAGAATGAGAGGTTCTAAACTGTCTAACCTGAGGGCTGACTCCAGACCGGAGCACTTCTCAAACACAACATAAGCTACTCTGAACCCCTGCAACATATGTGTGTCAAGTTAAACCCCGCAATGACAACTAACTGTTCTATAAAGGCTGTGTAATAAATTAAGAGGCTAATAATTACAAGAGGTGTTTTTTCAGCAAGGGCGTTTTTTCTTTTAACTCCATAGCTACTATATAGCCCTTCAAGTTATTACTGAAGGCACAAATCGATGCTTTATGCATTTTAATTCCTTTTACTAGTTTAAATTCTAAAGAAATGTTGTTTTCAGAGCAAAATAGTCTCCCATTAAAACTTTAGTTAGGTACCGGTACCTACAAAACCAGTAGTTACCGTGGTTTTATCTTCTGATACTTGTTAGCTTCACTAACTCTTCAAGGCAGTTTGACATGCCTTCCTTGTCACGGGATTTTAAATACGATTTTACGATACGTTCTTGACATGACACAACTCGTTACATGGTGGAATCTGACAACAAATCAGTAACTGTTTCGAATTAGGAATGTATACAGCACATTGTCCAAAAATTGGTACTACAGAAGGTTATGAACCTTTTAAAGAATCATTTAGTTGTGAATCTTATGGGCCTACATAAAATTACAGTTAATACCTACTTAGGTATTTTTAGCGAATTTCCCATATAGGGAATAAGCTATTACCGTAGTACTCATGGTAAGACCTGGACGCGGGACCGATTTTTTTTTTTGTTTTGAGGTCCCTAGAGGCCAAAAACACCATCCGTTCAAATTCATATATATATATATATATTTATATATTTATATATATAAGGTAAGTGCCCCAAATACCGACAATGTACTAAATACCGACACAGCCACATTTCATAACAAAACATAATGTCCTTGTCGTCTCTACCGGCTATATTGTAAGCCAGATGCGTTTGCGATGTTTTTTTCTACAAGTAAGAAGAAGAAGATATGAGTTCCCTCCTTTTCTGAGTTCGTTATGACAAGTTTCGTCTGCCGGTGCACGACTACGGTGATTTCAGGTAAGAATCTTACAGGTTTTCACTACGAACATTGGGATTTGCTTTAGCGAATAAGTAATTTGTCATATATGTGTTAGTATTAACTTTAATATTTATGTGAATCTAGATACTTAGGTTTTTAAATGTGTAATTCAAATCTTGCTTTTAACGGTTTCTTGTAATTTTTTGGCCGGTGTCGGTATTCAGAGCAAGTTTTCGTCATTTTGCCAAATACCGACATGGCGTTGTCGGTATTATTTTCATGAATAATTTACGAAAAAAAATACCGACACTTGACTTTAAAACATGTTTTGCTATCGTATTTCATATTTATAATCATGTATAGCATTTTAATATGCTGTGGTCTTAGTCGTTTTTGTCCTTTTTCTAATCACGTTTTATTTTTATTTTTTAGAATGCCTCCAGCGAAAACGCCACCCCCGAAAAAAAGGAAGCAATATGCAGACGAGGACATGCAAAATGCCATTCTGGCTGTAAGAAGTGGTGTGGAGACAACTTCGTCGGCGGCCAAACGTTTCGGTGTTCCTCGAGTGACCCTTCTTGACAAGATCAACGGCCGCTATGAAGAGAAGTGCAAGCTGGGGAGAAAACCTCTTCTGTCAGACGTCGAAGAGGAAGTTTTGGTCCAATGGGTTCTGGCTTGTAAAACAAAAGGCTTTCCAGTCACTAAAGAGCAACTTATATTCAGTGCTGGTCGCATGCTTGCCAAATCAGGAAAGCCGAACCCATTTGTCAATCAAAAGCCTGGTAGACGTTGGTACGAATTGTTTATGGGCCGCCACAAGAATCTGGCAGTCCGGGAGTGCCAGACTCTGACAACTTCCAGAGCTGCCATCACTCAAGAAAGTGTGGCCTCTTGGTGTGCCGAAGTGAAGACCTACTGCCAAGAAAACGATTTGATGGACATATTCCAAGACCTTCGTCGGGTTTTTAACTGCGACGAAACTGCATTCTTTTTAAGTCCCAAAACGGGGAAAGTTATTGCAGCCAGAGGGGACCGAAGTGTGTACAACATATCTGGAAACACAGACAAGGAAAACGTCACAGTTCTAATGACTGTGAGAGCAGATGGGGAGGTAGCACCACCAATGATTCTATACGCTTACGAGAGAATCCCTTTGCAAGTAGGGATGGCTGTGCCAGATGGGTGGGGTTTGGGGAAGAGTGAATCAGGTTGGATGACATCTGAAGCTTTTTTTGAATACATGGCCAACACATTTGAACCTTACCTAACTGCAAATAATATTCCGAGACCTGTGATAATGTTCATGGATGGCCACGTATCACATCTGTCTCTTGAGCTTAGTGAGTTTTGTACCTCAAAGAAGATTGAACTTGTCGCCCTTTTGCCCAATGCTACACATCTGCTGCAGCCTCTAGACGTCGCGGTTTTCCACCCACTGAAAAATGCGTGGAAAAAAGCAGTGTCCCAATGGAGGTTTGACCACTCCTCACAAAAGCTAAAGAAAGAAGACTTTCCTCCGATGCTGCAGTCAGTGATTGAAAGGACAATCAAGCCAGAAACCATTCAGAATGGTTTTAAAACATGCGGTCTAGTTACGTTAGATGTCAATGACATTGACATGACCAAAATTGTAGGTAACTTGGCCCAAAACCCAAAACCCCTAACACAACAGTCTAATGTAGAAACCGAGAGAGTAAACATCTGCCTCGCTCATCTTGAGAAGAAAATAGGCCATGACAGGTTAAAGGCGTTTAGACATGGTGGACCTATAAAGCGTCGTGATGAATCGCTGTATGAAGTGTGGAGGAGCATTCGGCAAGACCTTAAAACAAGCATTGACCAAAGTAATTGTAGTGATTCTAACAAAACTACAAACTCTGTTGAGGAACATCGACCTCTTGATTTTGTAAATAGTACCCGCATGGATATGGAAGAGGTTGTCTGCAACGACCCAGACGACCCAGATGATCCAGATCCAATGATGCCCACAACAATCCAACAAGAGCCAAACGTCCTCATCGATTGTTCATCAAATATTGAATTAGAGGAAGAAATATTTGTGGACGAGGGACTTTTTGAAGATCTAGGATTGGATGTATCAATGGGTTTGGAACTCGATCTCCCTGTTACCGTGGTGTCCGAACCTGTTCAACAAATCCCTGCCAACATTGGATCGACCCCACCTGTAACATGTGCCAGGGCAGTTACCCCTACATCTCGGCCATCGACATCTGTTCAAGAAGACGCCCAGCCATCTACATCTGCTGTCCAAGAGGACACAAGCAGTATTCCGTCGCCCTTCAAAGACTGCGTATTTTGGCCTGGGCCCAAAAAGGAATCTGGGATTAAAAGGAGGACAAAAACGGCAAAAGTCCCTTCAGTAATAACATGTATAAAATGGAAGGAGTACCGAAAGACATTGGTGGCTGAAAAAGAAAAAAAAGAAAAGGAAATGGAAGAAAGAAGACAAAAAAGAAGAGAAAAACAAGAAATGAAAAAAGTGGCCATGAAAATTAAAAAAGAAAAGGTCAGTGGGCCTAGAAAAAAGACTGAAAAGGAAGATGTTTCCCCACTTTCGTCCGACTCCGAAGATCTAGGATTGGATGTATCAATGGCACCAAGTGCATTCAACATCGACAAGGTGCCTGTGAATCCGAAGCTCTGCTTCGAGGACTTTAGTGTTGGGAAGTGGGTGATTGTTCCATATAAAGTCCTGAACAATCAAGGCACCAAGCGGTACATAGGCCAGCTACTTGATGTCAACGGCGAGGAGAAGACTGGCAATATACAATTTCTTGCCCAAGTAGGAGATACATTCGTTTGGCCAGAGAATGACGACGTCGACGAGGTTCCTCTCGACGAAATTGTCACAATTTTAAGTGAACCAATTTTTGATCGGCGTGGACATTATAGATTTCAGTTGTAAGAGATAGAGAGTGTGTGTGTTTGCTTGAGTATTTTAACATTTGTACAATATTTTAAAGCATTCTAAGATCTGTGTGTGTGTGTGCGTGTTTTATTTTTATATTTTCTATTTGTATTTGTTCTTCTATTTGTCTGTGTATATTTCTGTAACTGTACTTCTGTAGCTGTATTTCTGTATATGTATGTATTTGTATTTTCTGTATGTTTTTGTAAATAATATCTTAATACTAAGGGTAGGCCAATCCAAAATGTAAACTTAAATACGTCAATGGTTTTAAGTTACTTTTTCATGTTTCATTAAATACTTACTTGTTCCAGTTTTATTGGAATTATATTTTACCAAAGAAGTCATACAGTACTATAATTGAATAAGTTAAACACAGAAACTTGCGTAACAGCTTATCAAGTAGGCAGCTCCAGCTGTAGACAACATTGCCAGCGTCAGTCGCGTCGGCTGCTGCTGCTGCTCTTACATCGTAGTGAATTTTCATCAGATGTCGATATATGTTTACAATTTCGCACATAATTAATACAGAGACTACTTAATTTACATTTGCCAAACATAAACAAATTTTTACGTACTTTGTCTAAGTGGTTTTCAATAAAATTGGGAAGTAAGTTACCATAGTTACCGTAAGTTGGAGAATGTTCAAGTCTTAACTTTTACTTTTTGGGATGGATAGGGACAAAATATTGAAATAAAGTTGTGGAATAGGTTAAATGAATACACAAACTTCAATAAAAATACTTTATTATGATGATAATGTTCCTGTTCTCTCTTAAATTGGTGTTAAAATGATAATGTTGGTATTTAGGACATGAGGTGTCGGTATTTTGTTTCATTGCTGTCGGTATTTCCAGAAAAGTACAAAGAGTGTTTCCCCAACTTTAAGATGCTTAAAAACTGTTAATTGGATGTTTTTCTTTTATCTATTTATGTAATCTGAGAGTTTATATCATGGCAAAATTATTAACTCCATAATACTCAAGCTTAACATAACCTATAATTATTTATTTGCAGATGTAAACTTGAATTGAGTCTTAGGGTGTTGGTATTTGGGGCATTTACCTTATATATGTGTCCGTTAGCACGATAACTCGAGCAAGAATGATCCGATTTTGATGAAATTTGGTACAAACGTGTAAACCTACGTTTATTCGAACGAGTTTGCAATCCAGCATGATCGGACCATGGGAACGGGGGTTTACGGGGGGTTTTATGGGGTAAAAATAGGTTTTTCCTATTTTTTACCCAAAAAACATAAAATTTAGCAATTTCTTTTCAAACCATTTTGTAGAGCTTAAAAAAACAAATAATTTAGTATATTGAAGCGTTATTATGCGCCTAATGGTTACGGAGAAAATTCCAAAAAATTGTAAATTTAAAATTCCAATGTTATTCTTATGGAGAATAAGTAAACTGTTGTAGTTTGCTTGTTTATGAACATATTTTGATCAATTTTGAAAAATATTTTTATTTCTTACTAACTATTAACATTTTACAAAAAAAGAACAGTTTTACCCTCCCTGATGCAGCAAACCTAAGTACTTGTTAAACTAATTCTATTTAAATAGGGAATAAATGTTATATTTTTAAGTAGACATTTCAGTGTAAATCCAATCAGTCAAATGGAAATTCGCTTAGTCTGCAGGTTTGCTGCAGCGGGGGTATTTAATTCTGTTTTGATGATGAAATTAAGAATTTCACCGTGACTAGCACAGATCATGGCATTGACTTATGCCGGACAGAATAGGGCAAATAAGGGATGGTTTGGCGTGATTTTGGGAAAAAAACACCGTAGCAAGGTCTGGCATATATATTTTTATCATGCCTTTAAGGGTTATACAGAAAAAAAACATAAGTTAAAAGAAAACATCTTACTTCATTGAATTACTTTGGTGATTTTGAATTAAATCCAATTACATCAACGACAATAAATTTAAATTCTAGCCTGTCCACATTGACAAACACTTAGCAATAACACACAGTTAGGCCTATTGATTTTTTAAGGATCAGTTAAAATAGAGTGTAGGTATTGGTTTATGAAGTTTAACTTACTTTGATAAGAGTGTGTCTAGGAAATAGTTCAGAAAAGTCTGCCGGAGGAGCAGAAGACGAAGGTTTGGTTTGCAGATGGACATTTACAATGACCCCACACTTGCAAAAGGCATTCTTCAGAGCTTCCTAAAAAAAAATCGTACACCACCTTTTTAAATAGGTATCAATGTACATAAAAACTAAAAACATGTTTTAAACCCTAAATTAATTTTACTTGATACCAGTAACTGTTACATAGCTGAAATATTAGTAATGTTTTCAATGTTAGTTAATTATACCATAGATAAAACATAATCCCTTGTTTTGCTTAGTCTATGATTATAATACATTTCATTTAACCAACACTTTTTCCACATAAAACCAGAAAGATTGTCACGAATAGCATTTACAAATTTTGTTTTTGTAGTTTCATGTTCTTTTATATTTTGATAAAATTTGACCAATTTATTTAGGCTATTTCGTATGGAAGGCCTACTAAGTTATTAATATTTCATAAAAAAAACTTGTTTCCCTTCCTTGTTAAATCTAAATTAGATATTTAAATGGGAAATTAAAAAATGTGATTTGATGATGGATATTTTAATTATATAATCCCAATCAGACAAATTTAAAATTGCTTTGTCTTAAGATTTGACTGTGGGGGAGCGAGCTGGTCTAGTGGCTAGAGCGCGGGACTCCGGTTCCTGGGGTCCCGGGTTCAAATCCCGCCAAATCACCAATTTTTTTTAATAGGACGCTAGGCACGAGCCTGGGATTGTGGATTTTATATAAGTGATAATGCCGTAACCCCTAGGTCTAGCCTGAAGTAATGTGAAAAACAATTACAGGCTCGTGCCTAGCGGCCTAGGAAAAAAAAGATTTGACTGTGATGTGTACTATTTAAAGATAACAGCCGTGAATAATCCGACACTAAATATTTCTTCTTTACATTTAGCAAACCAAAATTTATACACATGCTGAATTCATTTCAACTTGCATTCACTAATACATAAATAGCCCAAATCTCAACAATCTCTATTAAATATTCCATGACCGTAGCCATACGCTAACATCTCATTTGATATTTCACTGACATCGGTTTTGATACATTGACATCTGAGGTCTAAAATGGACTAGAATGCCCTTGAAAGGGCTTCTAGTATAGTTGAAAATATATTTTGTATAGTTTACTATTTGATAATCAGAAAGAAAGCTACAGAAGGCTCTTTTAATACTTTTCAATGAAAAGTATTATACTACCTACGACTCACAATCGATTCAACACAAATTTGTTAATTCATGATTGGATTAAAATATTCCTAGTCGAGTCCACGTCTCAAATGCACAAGTGATTGGTAGGTAGTCAATAGCTTACCCTATACTCAAGCCAATAATCTCACACCAATGCAGAGGTGATCTTTTTTCAACTTACCGCAGTACAATAAGGTGGAACGCCAATGATAAATAGTGTTCTGTCAGATGGCTTTTCAAGGCACTTCTCCCGCACTTTGTGTTCTTTGATATATACATAGTGTTGTGCACTGCTGTCTGGCTTGAACTTTAGTGGTACAACTGGAACACAACAGACTAAGTAATCTGTATCTTAAATACTTCCAGGATGGCCTTATTGAACTTGGCAAAATATGTATAGCCTACCTACTGAGCAGAACTTTGATATACAACCTTTACTTGAAATAAAGCAGCTGGTACATGTGCCTAACTTAGCTTAGATAGATAGGATTTAAGGTTCAATACCTTTTGTAAATATGATAGGATCGGACAGCAAAATTAGCCACCTACTATAGCTTATTTAATAACTAACTCCAGGTTGAATACAGCATTATGTAGAACCAGAATAAATTACCAGGATACAGTTCCTGTTGCCATTTGGAGAATCGGCTGCACTTTAGTATCCGTCCTACACTCATTCAAATGAATAAGTAGGCCTATATAGCCTAGACTATTTCATTCAATATACTTCTGAAGTTTGGTCAGTTAGGTTACACTCATTCAAATGAATAAGTAGGCCTATATAGCCTAGACTATTTCATTCAATATACTTCTGAAGTTTGGTCAGTTAGGTTAACCAAACTGTGTATACATGCTAGAAACTAGTTATAGTTTCTCAACGGTAAAAAGTCAGTCTTGGAGTTTATATAATCATTATTATAATCTTAACTGATTGTATTATTGTAAATGGCATTGCCGTGGAAAATAAAAATAACCTAACCTAACTAACCTAATGAAATGATCGATATATCGAATAATCTATATATCGATATTTTTCATTCGAATGAGTGTAGTACGGACTACGCTAACTAAAGTGCAGTTGGAGAAACTGTTTAAAACATAACCTTGCTTATGTTCCATGGTATTTTCGGAAATAACTTAAGTTTGAATCAGGATTTGAAGCCTGCGGCGTGGTTTAAAATAATAATGATTTAAAGTGAGGTAGTTTCTATTACAACTTGTGACTTCTAAACCTTAAATGCGAACTTATTCCTAGATTAGAGCCACGATTACTAGAAAAATACATTAGAGCCTATTCCATTTTAGCAGTCAAAGAAAAAACATGAACAAAATAATTTTAAAACATTACTAACTAAGAATAGGTACCTGGTTTTAAAGACTTAAGTTACCTTTGCAACCACCAATATCTTGAACTGACATGATGATGAATTAAATTAAATCTTCTCAATTTAAAGTTGTAAATATTTAACTCGATCAGGACTCGTTTGTTTTGATCGGAGTAAAATCATGCTGTTACAAATTACAATTGGTTACTGTCGCTGTCGTAGTGATGGGAACTATCCGATAGAAACAAACGATTCATCCGGTTGTTGCGCGCCAACCGATTCATCCGATGGTTACTTAAATATTCATCCGGATGAACTATCCATTCTATCACATGTGAATCAGCCGAGTCAACTATCTCATCTGTCTACCCGTTCCACGCTTTCATCCAATTGTAAAACTATCTGTCCCGCATTTTAATTCGTTTAAACTACGAATTAGTTATTTGACAACTGAAACTGTTCTTTAAATTATTGAATGGTGAAATGAATATTCGTTTATTTGCACGATGAATTAATTTGTTTACCTTTTAATTATCTACACAGCGGTATTAAATGGGTTATTTATTCATCCATTCTCAAGTGAATCATCGCTGCTCATGGTCAGCACAACAGTAACTTAAATGCATTCGAGCAGATATTAATTATTAATTACGTAGTTATTATGAATAATTTGTACAAACAGCCTTGATACCTTTTGGGCGTAAAATTATTACGTGAGTAATAAATATCGAAAGATGAAATAATTAAGTTTAGATAACCAAGCAACTTAAAAAATGGGAATTGTCTCCTTAAATAGCAAATAACAAACCTTAAGCAGGAATTAATTATTTATTTTAAATAATTTTGAACGAATAAAAAATAAACAAATAAATAAATGTATTATAAAAATAAAACATAGAAGACGGAAGTAATTTTCTCACAGTACATTTTAGTTCTTTAATCATGCAAAACAAGTATTTTTCTGTTTATTCATGCACGGATAAATTCTCCAAAACATGGCGCTGGATAGGAACGCCAAACGCCACAATAACAAAACTATCTCTGATCAGGCGCGCGAACAGATGGTTTATCGGATCCATTCTACCTCTAGTCGGATCGGATAGTTTTATCTGTCTCCGGAAGCAGCACGGACGATCCCCACCCCACTACACTAAAAACCATCGGATGAATCATCCATCTGAAGACTATCGGATGAAAGCAAAACCATCGGATGAAACATCGGATAGTTGAAATCAGTCGTTTGTCCCATCACTACGCTGTCGCTGTTCTTTGCGTTGCGTCTTTGCGTGTTCACTGTCGGCTGTCGTCGTCGTCTGATCACCATGATCATGAAGGTAGTTTGTTCTCTGCTGACGCTACTTACTGTGACACTATAAGAAAAACTAAAACTACAATGATGAAACAAAGTATACATAAGTTTACTTCATCAAATTATTATAAATTTAGTGAAATTTATTCCTAAGATAATCCTAAGAGTGTTGCTACAAGCACTTCCTATTACCATAGATAAAACATACTTGTTTTATCTATGCTATTACTATATGAAATTAAATTAAATGAAAATGCTTCTTTATTGAGGCGAACTTAGGACCTTATGGTCCTTTCTTACAGATAACCTCTAAAAAACGAATAACAACAACAAAATAATAACAAAAATACAATAAAGTTTGTAACATCTTCCCTAACATACAGTCACACACACATATCTATCTACCCCCTCTGCTGCATCTAGGCAAGGACCCACTAGACTTAACCACGGCCATCCGGTCAAGGTAATATTTTTTCAGCGCCACCATCAGTCGGGATCGGTTTTATATTAGCACCGAGATCCGAGATGATGGTGGGTTGATGGGAAGAGGTATTGAGTTCCATAGGCGGCATACTGTTACTAAAAATGATTTGTTATAAACAGGGGCCCTATTTTTGAAATGGTTGACAGTTGAGTCAATCGTCAGCACTCAACTCAACCAACAACATGATTTGGTATTTTTGAAACCCAACAGTTGGGAAGCGAGTTGGGGATCACTAGTTGAGAGACTCGTGGTGGAAATGTAGAGCATACGACCGTCAAAAATTCAGATGACGTCATTTTGAACCAATCACAATGCAGAGTTCTTGCGGACTTCGATTTAACGCGAGCGTTTCAGGGCAGGAATTGGACTAGCCTACTGCGCATGCGCCAGAAAGAATCAATTCAGTTGTATTTGGTCTTCAACGAGTCGACTCAGGAGTCATAACTTACTAGTTCAGTTCAGTTTCAGTTCTGTTCTGCTGTTAGCTACCTCCGTTCCATGACGATTGACGACTTGAGTCAGTCATCTCTGTCACCCCCATCATCCGTTGCATTTTAAGTACCTATTCGGTACTTTAATACTAACTATGGGAATGGACTAAAAATTGAGTTTTCCCATTTTTTACCCTAAAAACATTGTTTTTTGTATTTTTCAAGTTATTTTGTGATATTTGACAAAATTAATAATTTAAACTTAATATGTTCAGATACCATGAATATTTCAGAGTACTTTTCCAGAATATTCTGAGAATGTTCTTCAGATTTCTAGGCAATATAAAAATTTTCTTTGAATATTTTTTATGAATGATCCAAGTATATTCAAGGAAATTGCCTGGGATGTTGAGAATGATCTCAAACATTTTAGAAAAATTCCAGGAAATCCTATTATTTTTCATGTTGTATTTAAATGTTATACGGTATATACAAGTGAGTTAACAAATTTTTAGATTTTCTCGAATTTGATGTTGGCAGATATTGATTGCAGTCCATGCCCTGGAATTTGAGTGGAGCAGAATCATTGCAACTATAAAATAAATTGAAATACCATCCAGAGAAAATATAGGAAATAAGGTCAACGATATTTGGTATCAAATTAAACTTACCAAATTCAAAATAACTTAAGAGTTTTTGGAATTGTTTACATACTTCAACCTCCTTTGTTTGAATAATCTTTATGTTAGTCTGGAATTTTCAGATTTTATTTTAGTTCCTTTATACATTTAAACAGACCAATGCATCTGCAACTACGCATGCAACTTAACGATGTACAACTTGGTCAATGGCAATAAACTTTCTTATTCTTATTCTTATTCTTATTGCAATAGGATAGTGCTGGGTTCACAACAGACCAACCGTATGATTCGGTTGTGTGTCGAAGAATATCGAACATGTTGTAAGTCGTATCTGTAATCGCATTGCATCACATCGCACTCGCACAGGCTAACATTAGGATTGGATTGGAGTGCTGTCGTCGTGTCGTCTGCCGCTCAATTGCAAATGTGAAATAATTGATTGACGTTACTCAGGTTATGTTTTTATCTATGTTGAGGAATTTCAATAAACTTAGTTTATTTAGTTATTCCCAATTTTAAGTGAGTTTGAAAACGCTTTGCCCTATTAGAGTCAAACTATTAATAGCTTAACTGAATCAGCAAAATAAAAATATCAAATCAATTGCGCAAACTATGATGTCTTTTAGAAAACCAATTTAGGCCTTTTACTTATGGTTTCTGAAGTTCAAATATAAAAAACCAAATATTATTACTCCAGAATTATTATTCTAGGTTCCAATTATTGTTTGGGGAGGAGGGGGATTTATTTACATACAATTCCCCCATTGATAATTATATTAGGATGTAGCCTATTTAAGTTAATACAAATAAAATTAAAAGTATGCTGGTCATTTAAAAGAATGAAACTGACACAATAAGTTAAGATAGGTAAGTCATATAGTATGTTGGAAACAGAGCATATTTTAAGGGATTTCCACTGGGCAACAGAGGCGCCGGACTTACCGGGTGTTTATGTGATACCTGGGGTCGGAGGGTTCCCCCGGAAATTTTTGCTTAGCTTAAATTAAAGTGAAAAGAACACATATTTCTACGCATCTTCTAATGAATTTTTCGATTATACTTATTCGCTTGTAAATAGTCCATATAATCTCACTTAATTATGTACCGGAATCCTAGAATGTCATAACAGGCCAAGGCTCCCTTCACAACCTCTTGGGCCAAAATCATAGCTCAATAGCCTACTCTAAAATATTTACATATTTTTTTTTTTATTCGTATACATTTCAAATGTGAATTATTAAAAAAAATATGCTGGCACCACCCATAGTCACTGGCCGACAAAATCTCAGCACTGTGTCACCCATTTAACATGTTATTTTATATGCCCTGTGTTGGAATGTAAAATAAAATAAGGCCCTAAATAAAAGCTTGCTTCAGCCTGAAACTTAAGTGTGTTGGTTAGGTAAAATTTTAAAATTTAACAAATTTTACCTTCAAATTAACTCATAGAACACATCTTTTTAACAGGCCCTCTGGTGAGTGGTGAAAAAACAGTAACACTTTACTCTTTGCATGCATCTTTACTAATCAAATTCATTCAATACTTACCTACTAGAAATAATTATTTTAATAAGTCTGGTTAAGTTAGTTATTTTTTTCTGTATACAAATGTTACAGCTTTATTTGTTTTAATCTACTTATGGATTGTAGGCTACTGTAACTTAAAATTGACTAAAATACAGCCACAATTTTAACTAGAAATGTTGGCATTCATTCTTATAATCCCACCAAGATGCCTTAACCTATTAAGGATAACTTAGACTATCTGGGTGAGGTTTTAATTACCTTAATTACCACTGTGTTGCCGATGACAGATGATTTGGATAGGGGTCCTCCAAACAATTGACCTTTAATGAACGACAAGATATCTTATTGTAATTATGTTTATCTTAATTATGTGAGTGTGAGTCAATTAAGCAAATTTGGTTAGATATTGTATTGAATTTGGATGCAAAGAAACGTAGCCTACAATAAAGGAAATGGGATCCACTTTTACAAGTAAGTTTTAAATAATTACTTACTGTATCAAGAAATGTTGTCGCTAACTTAAGCCGGGTCTTTCCTAGGCGCGGAAGTGGAGAGCGGAGAGAGGAACGCGGAGAGCGGACTCCACTTGTCTTAGGTAATTTAATGTTACTGTTTTCCTAGAAACAGAGCGGAACACCATGTTAATCTCTTTTCCGCTCTCCGCGTTCCTCTCTCCGCTCTCCGCTTCCGCGCCTAGGAAAACCCAGCTTTATGCCTAGACTGGTTAGGGCTTCAGATAACTTCTTACTGTTTAAAATCAGAAGTGCATTTTAATTTGAACTATTAATTAACTGAATAAAATAAATTCTTGTATTTTTA